AACGAGTTTTACATATTACGCACACTCTCATTATTCCTTAAAATAATTCTTATTATGTAACTAAAATCAAACATAATCAAACCACATGAAATAATTTAATTTTTAAAAAAAAATTCAAAATACAGAGATACGATTTAAATTATACAACAGACTTTGGCATATTATGCCAATTTTAGTTCCCGGTACGGACAATGAGGGCGCTTCAAATCGGCATAAGCATTACTTGTATATATAGAGGTCAGTGGCCATCGTGTAATAAAAATGTTACACCACATATCCATATGTACCTAGCGTATATCCACTAAGCTACCGCTATTCTTTTTAATAGAACTGAATTTGTACGAAAGCAAACCAAGTTCTATTCTTACCGACACCAATTATAAATAATTGCAAATAACAACTTAGTTATTTGCAATTATTTTAAGTGCTGAATTATCACGTGATCGGTGACGAAGAAAATGAGGAAACTTGCATGATTGAGAGCCTACTTAAATGGATTGGGGCCACGGGTCTACTCTTTCCTGCTTTAAAATTCTTACAGAAACGAGAGAGATCAGTGTGCTAGTAATACAGGAGATATTATGTTTCATATTTTATTAATTATATAATTATGGTTGCAGAATATGATGTCATTAAATAAATGAATAATTTAATTGAAGACGATTTGGAAAGTGTCATCTCAATCTAATAAGTCAACAGCGTTTTCGTTTTTACTTTTTGTGGTAAGAGGTAAATAAAATCAACGCAATTGTATTTTAAATGCACATTTATTCGTTACAATTATATTTAATATAATAATAATAATTTATATCTCTTAAAAAACTATTAAAGCTGGCACAGATTTTTAATTGGTTTCACCGCAACGATTTTCTATTCCTAATTCAAATTTCCAAGTAATTAATAATAATATTATAGTAACAGCTAGGGATATAGTATAATATACTAAAATGATAACAGTGACATAGACACATTGAACACATACATTCATTCAGACATCAATAAATTGTATTGAAAGTTACATTTAGCATATTAATAATTTTAACAAAAAGCACTTAACAACGTTACCAGGAGCCAAATGCATTAGGTGCAACAACTAATGCTTCATAGATCATAGTAGAAAATAAATATTATCACTAATAATAACATTTATAGAGTGAAATAGTTCTCTAATGTTCACTCATTTTTAGTTTATTAGGAAATCATATAATCGTAGTTATCATTTGTTTTTTTTTAAATAATGTATGTATTTTGTTATTAACAAACACACTTACTTATTAAACACATTTTTTTTTATTAGAGTTATTATTCATGATAGAAAATCTATAAGCAAAACAGTGTAAAAATTAAAAATAATTAAAGAAAAATGTAAAATATAAAATAAATAAAGTGTACATATTTACATTACAGTTTACATTTTACTTTCACGCAGGCTTTTAATTTTTTCACCTACGTAAGTAAATGCGGGCTTGCAAAATACCTAAATGTCACGAAATTGCCTGTCTGTACAATTTTTCTGAGATGCTTAAGTGAGAAGGAGCCTTATTTTTCTCAAGTATCTCTAACGAGTAAAACTTTTTATTATATTGTTAATTAGATATTTTTTTATAGAATAAGGGTGACAAATGAGCACACTGTCCACCTGATGGTAAGTGGTTGCTGTGGCCCATAGACATCTACATCTATCCTTGTTTGTTAATCAAAATGCAGATGCGCTGTTAGCCGTGAGGACTAAGATGAAATGCCTCTTTTCCAGTAAAAAGGGTCTCCGGATTTCTACACTCACCATACGAAACATAGCGGCGTTAAGCTGCTATTTTATGCTGGTTTTCTGTGAGAGCGTGGTCCTTCCCCGGTCGAGCCGACCCATTCGTGCTACAACTATACTAATAATATAGCTGCAGCATGGCTCTACCACGTACAAAACGTGTAAAAACTATTTTGATGTATTGTCAGTCATGTCGCCAACTTTTCTATAAAATTATCTTCTATTTTTATAACCCAACAACCATTTGCGGTATATCTAGAAATAACACACAAAACTTACGGCCTTGTAAATAGAGTCATGGTAGCTTAAGGGCTAAGTACTGGCCGTAAATTTTACTGTACGCGAAGAGTCTGGGTTCGATTCCCAAAGGTACTAATGAAATTGTTAATTTAATTTTTAAATCACGTATTCGGCGGTGAAGAAAAATATCCTAAGTAGGAAATTCCTAGGAAAGGAATCCTGCAAGTTTGACAATTTACAAATCTTTTCGAAGGCAAGTGATGTCCCCTAACACGCTTTGGGGCTGTGTGGTGGACACTTTCTTTCCCTAAGTACCTTCTCAAAATAATAGAAGGCCTGTGCCCAGTCAAAAGACGTATACAATCTAGGTGTGTAACCTTAACTTTAATTTTAAGGATTCGTAGCGGCCGAGCTACGACTCCATAGTTGAAATCCTTCGTTTCATTTAACTAGTAATGAAAATAATAACAATAAATAACAAAACACTAACAATAACGAATTTATAACATTAAATAAAAAACAAAAAAAAAACCGGGAAGGAAAGCTATAAGTAACACAGTTACTAGCAAGAATTGACTATAATATACTAATGGTGCTTTTTTGCCAAATGATGTTAACATGCACATAACATGCAGCGGCCGCTTTTTCGTAGCGGCCGCTGCATATCTTATCAAACAGAAATACTAATCGATCGTTATCGTATCTTAACTCAGTACAAATCAGCGTGTTTGTGATCTTTATATCGGTCGTTGGCCTCACTTTAGGGTTGCCATAAATGTTAGACCGCTGACCGGGACATTTGAAAAAAAAATGAATGATGGGTATATTACCCCATCATTATCATCATTATCATTACAGCACATAATATGCCCACTGTCAAACAAAAGCTTCCCCATATTACCGAAAAGCACGGTCCTGAACCACCTCCATCCATCGTCTCCTGTATGTTTCGTCAGGTCGTTACTATCTCGTGGGGGGGTCGACTAATAAAGCGCTTGTCACTTGCTTGTATACTATACATCTCTATCACGGAAATAAAAAAAAAAACAAGTTTAATTTTATATAAGTAAACTTTTTTATCAAACATTTAAACATTGGGATAAAATATTTTACTTTTTATTTTTTTTCGTGCCAGATATTTATAAAGTAACTATATAATTCAGCATCCTTATTTATTTTTTATTTATTATACTTTATTAGGCTTACTCATCTTCATTGATACCACTTTTTGCGTTTCACGCTTTAAGATGACTGCCTTCATATTGTTTTAATTATGCGTATATAGTATACTACAATTATATTCTATAATGCGTGAACCAGATAAAAGCATTTTTGGACCATATTACCACTACCCATAATTTACAAACCGTCCTAACTGCCTTATTGACCGGGACACGGGAATATAGTACCGGACCGGACATGTCCCAATGTACGGACATATATGGCTACCCTAGTTTACCTAGTGGATGACTATAGATCGATATATCTAATTTTTTCTAAAGTATATAATTCTAAAGTAAATAAAAATTTTTTTTATTGTGTGCTCATAAAATAGTGTCCTCCAGGCCGAATTTCGAACAGCCATATGCGCAAGACAGGATTATAGTACCCAAGTGTTTGCACAAGACCAGGTACACTTTCTTTTCCCTCACTCTCATAGATCGATGGAACGGCAAACCGACACGACCAGTGAGAGAGCAGGCGCAGCACCAACGGCTTTACGTGTTTTCCGAGGCGCGTGAGTGAAACACCGCCAAATTCCTGCCTCCGGGCTGTTACTGAGAATTAACAGAAAAACTCAAAAAAAAAATTATTTTGGCCCGTCCCGTGATTTGAACCCTAGGCCTCATGATCGTAGTAACGTAGATAGCATGTTGTTAGATACGTGCGGCATAAAATTTTAATATAATTATAAATACCATACTAATATAATATGTTATAGAGAAGTATAATATTACTGTATTATGACATAGACAATAATACAAAAAGAAAAAGAAATCTGCGTGGGAATAAAAACCCTTGAGCAGATCAATTGTCTATGCTATAGATAATAATCAAATCCTTCCATTGCAATTATTCAATTTTACAATTATAATTTAATTTTACTAATTCGTCTAAGATTTCTGTTTTTAAAATACATTTTGTATAATCGTTGCAAAAGCATAGGACTTACTTATCATGTACATTGAAAGTAAAATGTACTTACTTGTAAAGTTATATGCTTTAGTTTGTTTTCATATACATATTATATTTATATACCGCAAAAATGGACGTTTCACTTGGTACATATTAAATTTTCAAAACACGTAATGTTTATACCGTGGACGTCAAGCACTATTTATATTTATATTATAATATATTACAAACTATGTTTCTAAGTAAATAGATATTGATAAATAGATTAAACTATTACATTTATTCTATGGCAGGAACAAAATATAAATTCTCTAGACAACACTTTCAGGTCGATAACAACTATTTATAAATACTCAAAACTTAAATCGTAGGTTTGAATACACTATGTAAAAACATTTTCATTAAACAGTTGTAACAAATTATTAAAAAGTAATGATAAAGACATTTTTAAATTGAAACACGCGCGAAAAACTTAACATTATTCTCAATAATAGTACAATTTCGTACAATAATTGTGACAGGAAAAAACTAAAACTATACATAGAAACATTTTTAGAAGTACCTATTATAATTAATGTCATAAACACATATCGCTAATAAACATTTAACATCAAATAATAAGGTAGCTATAATAGTCGCAGTAGCCAAATCTCATGTACGTATTTGAATTAAGAAAACCCATTCTGAACTTTGAGCAATTAATACAGAGTGGATATAACTATTGTAATAAAAATAAAAATTGGCAGATTTTAACATAATCAGCAGTTTACATCAGTTAATAATACTTTAATTATTATTAACATTTAAACATAATTTAATTTAGATCTAAATAAAATTATTGGAATGAGTGGGAAAGTGATTAGCAGTGCGCAAAGAGCTTGAAAAATCCTCGTCCCTTTTCAGGTTCTGGTCCCATTAGCATTGGAACTTGGTTTTTGTGCGTTATTGTTATCTGCAATGAAAATACTGTTTTAATTCTGGTTATTATTAAAATAAATTGAAGGATACGTTAGTGGTTAAATGTATCTTAAATAATTATAATTATAAAATAATTTCATCTTTACAGCTAATCCACAGTCAACTGTTAAGCCTGTCCGGCTGAGAATCAACACAGGACCTGCGACATAGCCACCTCTGCTTCGAAGTTACGTAGTCGTCGTTTTATGTGAAAGACCAAATGGCCGCCACACACGGTCAGTTAAACTGATCAGTTTATATCAGTTTAACTGACGTACATCCAAAAACTGACTGTGAGTGTGAAATCTTAAGTTGAAATTTTTAACTGACGGCAACCTACGGGATTTTTCCGGGCGCACCGTTATCCACTGGCTTCAGTTCATTTGCATCACGCCAAACTGACCGTGAGTGAGCGTGCTTATAGCAGGGCTCCATCACTCGTCCAAGGTCTCGCGTTATATACTTACCGGCTAGCGTACTCCGGGAGTGCAAGTATCAGTGGAGTATCGCACGCTCTACGTATGGGTAATTTAGTTTTAATTAATGATTTCTTATATTTACGCGAACACTACACATTGAATAAAACTATTTTTTACGGATTTTATCGCGTTTAATTAACTTATTTTATATTCCCGACGTTTCGGTTGCTTTCCAGCAACCGTGGTCACGGGGGACTGAGGTGATTGACGTCCCGATGTCAAAGTTAACCCGGAGTACCTTCAGCTTTTTAATTATTAATTTTGGTCCGATCTACGCAGAATGAACTAACTGTGTCTTGAAGTCTTACAGTGGTATGCTTGGGTTTAGTTTTAATTTTATGAATTACAGGATCCCAAGCAGGTGGTTTACGTCATATCCCCGAAACTCTTCACCGCTGCATTGGAAGACGTTTTCAAGCTTCTGGACTGGAAAGGATACGGTATCAACATCAATGGCGAGTACATCACTCACCTTCGATTTGCCGACGATATAGTCCTTATGGCAGAATCGCTGGAGGACCTAAGCACTATGCTCAATGACCTCGATAGTGTTTCCCAACGGATAGGTCTTAAGATGAACATGGACAAAACAAAGATCATGTTCAATGTCCATGTCACACCTATGCCGGTAGTTGTTGGGAGCACTAAGCTCGAAGTTGTTGACGAGTATGTTAGTATGTCCAACTTCGACCGAGAGGTCAATCGACGGATTCAACTCGGCTGGGCAGCGTTCGGGAAGCTACGACACATCTTCTCGTCAGACATACCTCAAAACCTGAAAACGAAATTGTACAACCAGTGCGTGTTGCCAGTGATGACTTATGGAACTGAGACGTGGTCCTTCACTGCTGGCCGTATGAGGAAGCTCAAGGTCGCTCAGCGAGCTATGGAGAGGGCTATGCTCGGAGTTTCTCTGCGTGATAAACTTAGGAATGAGGATATCCGCAGTAGAACCAGAGTAACCGACATAGCCCAACGGATTAGTAAGCTGAAGTGGCAGTGGGCCGGCCATATAGCTCGAAAAACCGACAACCGATGGGGAAGAAAGGTTCTCGAGTGGCAGCCTCGTACCGGTAGGCGAAGTGTAGGGCGTCCCCCCACGAGATGGAGTGACGACCTGGTAAGACATGCAGGAAGTCGATGGATGCAGGTGGCTCAGGACCGTGCTTTGTGGCATTCTTTGGGGGAGGCCTATGTTCAGCAGTGGACTTGTGAAGGGCTGTAATGATGAATGATGATGATGAAGCAGGTGGTAGTACCCAGCCTCCCTCTCTATTGAAATTAGGATGTTTTTTAGCCGTCTAGAATATGATCACAAACTGCAGTTTGTGATCATATCCTAGACGGCCCCCGTCATTACATTAGATTTGATAAACTACAAGTCCTCGCGAAAGAACATCGATTCCTGCCAAGGATGATACGTGAGGCTATTGAAATTAAAAAACATCCTAATTTCAATAGAGAGGGAGGCTGGGTACTACCACCTGCTTGGGATCCTGTAATTCATAAAATTAAAACTAAACCCAAGCATACCACTGTAAGACTTCAAGACACAGTTAGTTCATTCTGCGTAGATCGGACCAAAATTAATAATTAAAAAGCTGAAGGTACTCCGGGTTAACTTTGACATCGGGACGTCAATCACCTCAGTCCCCCGTGACCACGGTTGCTGGAAAGCAACCGAAACGTCGGGAATATAAAATAAGTTAATTAAACGCGATAAAATCCGTAAAAAATAGTTTTATTCAATTAGTTTTAATTATCAAATAAACAGTTAAAAATAAATAACTCATTTATTAAATAAATAAAATTTACCATCTATACAAATAAATAAAATTGAAGTGTCTGTTTGTAATGTCAAAATTACAGCTTTTTACTAAATGCATATGAAAGTATATACGGTACTAATAACAAAAATACAATTTTTAAAGTTTTTGTCTGTCTGTCTGTCTGTTTGTTCCGGGTAATCTCCGAAACGGCTGGACCGATTTTGACAAGATTTTCACTTGCAGATAGCTGATGTCACAAGGAGTAACTTAGGCTACTTTTATTTTAGAAAAAGAATTAGGGTTCCGCGCAAAAAAATTAAAACCTTAAAATTACGCGCGGGCGAAGTCGCGGCGAACAGCTAGTAATTAATAAAATTATCATAAGGTATAATCTATTTCTTAAAATTGTCTTATTACTTAACTTACTTAATATGAATAAAAATATTTTTTGAAGTGTTAATATATAGGAAATATATAGAAATATATAGGAAAAGTGTGTGTCGAACTTTTTTTGGCTTAAATCCATTTGAACTGATCTGTTGAACTGATGTCAGTTTAACCGACCTCTATATTGGAAGGACATAAATAATTCAATTCACTGCTTACCTTACAATGAGGTTGCATCCAAGGCTCGCCGTCAATTTGCATCGGGAATGTTCTCTTTGTTGTTATTGTTATAGAGCTGCATTGTGCTAAACGACGTCCTGATGCCCTAAGACCTATAAAATAAATTGGTATAGACATTATAGTAAGTTGAGTTAAATATAAAAAAAAAATATTAAATATTCCTTTTAAGGCAAAGAAAACTTATTCACTAATTTTTACTTTCATACAAAATCTAGGTTTATATTTTTAAGATAAAGATGAGTCTCACTAGATCAATAGACTTGGTAAAAGAAATATCAACATAGAATAAGCAATTCCTTAGTAAATGTGTTCTTTCATAAATTTTCCTATCATGCATGTGTTTACCTCAAATATAAAATAAAAAATAAATGATAAAAGTAATGTCCATTTGGTTCCTTCAAAATTTTTATTAAGGTCTCAGGCAAAATAAAATTATTTGGTCTGAGATGAAGGCTAAACATTAAATTAACAATTGACATACGTTATAAGTTGAGCGCAAAATTTCCTTTGTGGAAGTGTTATGAATTAGGTATAGGTTATATGAGTCCGCCGTAATGCTACATTCCCTCGAAATATGTTCGTTTCTCATAAATTCAGGTTTCCACCTGATGTTTATAAGACTCTGAAATTCAATCCCTTCTCCTATTCGTGTAATCAAAACAGTCAATTTGTCAAACTAATAAATTACCGTTATTTCTTTCTGTCTTTAATGCTTATAATACATATCAAATCTTTGATATTTATTACACTCATTTATTTTACACATTTATACAACATGTAACAAAAACCCTGTGGTACCCATTAAGTACGTTATCAGGATCATTATTCAAACGTATAGAAATAACTTTTTTTTAAAACTCGAACAATATTTTTTTTATTTTCTTTTAAAAAAATAATTGTGTGCAAATTGTATGTGGTTTTAGTACCTCTGCATTGTCTGGGAAGTAAGAGGATTGTCAAAGCTCCCGCTTTACTTTTGCATCGGCTAGTGTCAGTAAGAGGTTATAAACCACATAAAATTAAAGAAAAAATATTTTTTCAATAAAATAAAAAAATATGGTTGAGTTTTTAAAAAAAAGTTATTTCTATACGTTTGAATACTGATCCTGATAACGTACTTAAAGGGAACCACATAAATTTATTTATGGGTTTATTTCTTTTATGTATATGACTGTATTTTTTGACCTTTTGTGAACACGCATTTGTTTTCAGTTAAGTTTTGCTTTGGTGAATTTTATTATTTCATTGTTTTAAAATTTTCAGATATATATTGTGTTGTTATTTAATATCTCCTATCAATGTTGTGTAAGCCTATAATAGGTATATGTATAAGTAATTGTGCTTTAAAAATGTAACTTTTATAATATGTATACATGTACTGTTGGTGTACCTTTTTAAATAAATAAATAAAAATTTTATTAAAAGAAATTTCACTATGCAATAAGTAGTGCCATTGTAAATAATTAGGTTCTAAGCGTATTATTTCGGGTTAGCAGCTGATTTATTATATATCTTTAAAGATTGTTAAAAGTATTTTGACCTAAATATAAAATATTTATTTGCGCAATTTCACCTGTTCGTACTTGTCCCATATGTAGGCAATTCTCCAAACCTATAACTTCTATAAGTTTATCACCGATGTCTGTAAAATAGAAAAACATTTGTTATATGTTATGTTATATATGTCATATAAGTTATATTTATAAGCTTGGCTTGTTTTAAATGTGGAAGATAATACATATGTAACTTTCGTAATGGTGCTTAAATGCTAGTGTATATGAGGATAATTAGTTTTAAAACTCGTACTGACAAGAATATGTAGGATATAATAACAAGGTAGTTACGTGAGAGTAAATAAAATGCCTTGGGCGTGAATTAATGAAAAAGAATAACTATGAATTCATTTCATTTGTTAATGTAATGACCGTTAAATATCATGAAGCATTGATAATGCCGGAATCATGTTAGATCCATTACGTGTACACTATTTTGATTTAATTTTTGTAACCTTCACTTTTTGTTACAATTATATAGTTAGTAAAAGGTATTTACAATATTTTGACTACAGTTTTAGCTTTTAATACAGAATGCTTTTATATTTTAAATAGGTTACAACCAATTACCTACTTTTTTATAATTAATTAAGAAAACGTAAAGAATTAGGTACATAATACAATTATTAATTTTTAATTTTTTTAGATGAGAGTATGCATATTTAGATTTTTTATTTTTTTAGATGAGAGTATGCATATTTTGCCTGTGACTCCGCATATAATTCAGGTATTCTATTAAATAAATTTAGAAACAAATTAAATATATTTTTCTTGTTAAGACTAAAGATTTATTTTATAATATTATAGAAAAAAATATATTTTTCAGAAATAAAGACGAAATAATTCTCTGTAAATATTTTATTAGTTTTGGTGCGGTTGTTGTAATCAGGGGGGTTCCATGGCAATCGCCCATCTAATGCCAATGCCACATTGACGTAAATATAAACATATAACATATTTCTAAAACAACTAAGCTTATTTTATCGTATCTATGACGGGGAGTGCTCGGACTATATTATTGTTGGGACTAATTCCAGCCGCTCAATTTCACCATCGCACATCGCGACAAAACTCGCGATACCATCCATATCATCTGGATGATCGGCGGTCCACCACTGTGCGATTTAGAAGAAGTTTTCTCCCTCGCACAACTTCCTTGTGGAATCGATTACCACCAGCGATTTTTCTGGACCGATACGGCTTAGGGACCTTCAAAAAGAGCCTACTCCTTTTTAAAAGGCCGGCAACGCATCTGCAATTCCCCTGGTGTTGCAGTTGTTCATGGGCGGCGGTAGTCACTTACCATCAGGTGAGCCGCATGCTCGTTTGCCCCCTCTCCTATAAAAAATAAATCTGCATTTTGATTCTTAATCGAGGATAAATGTCTATGGGCCACAGCAACCACTTACCATCAGGTGGACTCATTGGTCATATTTATTCTATATAAGAAATCAATGAAACACCACCTAGACGTCAATAAAATTTTAAACATTGCCTTTACTTTGTAGGGGGAAAGAAAGTATATAAAGCCTAGGTTTTCAATTATATCTACAGATTCTGATAGCATATATTCCTTTTTATAGTTGACCTCTTAACTGTAAAGTAGGCTGTTCAGAAATGTGATAAAATGATTTATGATATAGCACGAAGGTCTGTCGTATAGCATGGCCATTCACTCAACGCATGTCATGCTACATTGCCGTCTAGGGTCTGCTAAACACTTTCGTACAGTTTCACAATATGTATTACAACACGCACACTACGCTGGAAGAGGATATTGGAACGTGGTATACTTTAAAACTTAAAAAACTACATTCGTAATTTTTTTTTAATTTTCGAAGTATTTATATATAATTATATTTTTTTTTCAGTCAACCACCAAACGCACCTTGTTGCGCGTTAGGGAAACGACCGCGACGGTGTGCTCCACTTGCGCCCCAAAGGTTGGAACCGCCATGAGCGTAAGGTATGTTCAAAAGTGCCACCCCTTGCAGTGCTGGCCCCTTGTTTAATTCCAGAGACAATCCATCACACTGTAAACACGTTCAGCGTTTTTAATATAAAAAATAAAATATTATCAAAAAATGTTAATATATCTATTATAGAACCACAATCGCCATAGCAAACTTTCAATTCAATGGTTGAACGTAATGGAAATGGGCATATAATGTTCTTAACTTATCTTTATCGGAACGCAGCACTTATGATATTTTATATGTGGTACTTATAATATATGTTACGGCTAAGAGCCGAAGTGCGGGTACCCCTAGGTTTAGCCGGCTACTACTAGATGCAGCCAGCCAGATATTGCGGTTGGTTAAACTTAGGTGTATCATATATAATTTATAAATTAGATAAATGTCTGCGGTTTTGCCCCTTACCGCCCCTTAACCTTCTGTCGCTAATATTACTTGAAACGTATATCCGTGTTTTTACAAATTTAACAGTACAACCTAAATTTAACCAACTAATGCTGGCCGCAACTAGTTCCAGCAGGCTAGAACTAGGTGTAATCGCACTTCGGCTTTTAGCCGTAACATGTACACTTATGATATATATGATAGAAACAAAGAAGGTTCGGAGGCAGTGTCCGTGAAGTGTAGACAAACCGCACTTCTGAAAATTGTATAATTGTAAATGTTGATGGCGACTGAAAAATCCCTAAGAATCAGCATCATCATCATTACAGCCCGTCACAAGTCCACTGCTGAACATAGGCCTCCCCCAAGGAAAGCCGTAAAGCACGCCTGAGTTACCTGCATCCACCGACTACCTACATGCCTTACCAAGTCGTCACTCCATCTTCACGAGGTTATCACTCGAGAACCTTTCTTCCCCATCGATTGTCGGTTCTTCGAGCTATATGGCCGGCTCAGTGCCACTTAAGTTTACTAATTCGTGGGGCTATGTCGGTTACTCTAGGGTATCCTCATTTCTAAGTTTATGACACAGAGAAACCCTCAGCATAGACCTCTCCATAGCTCGCTGAGCGACCTTGAGCTTCCTCATACCGCCAGCAGTGAAGTGTAACCAGTGAACCATGTCTCAGATCCATAAGTCATCACTGGCAACACGCACTAGTTGTAGAATCTTGTTTACAAGTTTTGACATCTAACCTAACCTAACCCAAGAATCGAAAAAACCGATAATGTTGATACCAAAGCAAAAATAAGTTTGCTAAAATTCAACCTATATTGAAGATCCGTGTCTCAGCAGATGGGTGAGATGATAGAAAAAAGTATTTTTTTTTTATCATGGCCGTTGTGCCTACAAAATCTGATGTCTTTTGTCAAGTAGGTTTTGAATGCAATTTTATATAATTTCTAAAGGCTATATTTATACAAATTAAATTTGATGCATACTTAGTTATTAAATACCGTTATTAGCTTACAAACAACGTAAGTTCTTGTTCAACTTGCTGTATGAAATTACATTGTTATCTGTATATCGTACGCTACATACATATTGTAGTGTCTTTCTGTAATATCGAAATAACTGCTTTTATTGAGCTGAGGGGATTATTTGCATGCCATTAAGACATGAATAATCATTTTAAAATATTTTGTCTGTCTGTTCGTTTGTCTGTCTCTTTGTCTGGTTAATCTTAGGAACGGCTCAACCGTTTGTAATGAAACTTCACGAACAGGCAATGCCAGGAGTGACCTAGACTACATTTTATACGAAAAACGTGGATATTTTTTTGAAATCAAAAACATTAATAAAATAAATGAACTGTGATGATTATCATTAGTAGATCCTACCCAGGCGAAGCCGAGGCGGGTCGTTAATCAATAATAATCTATACAAATAAACAAAAGTGAAGTGTATGTTTGTAATGTCAAAATACGAGTAACATCTTTTTACTAAATGCATATATGAAAGTATTTATGGTACTAATAACAAAAAAAACTTTTTAAAATTTTTGTCTGTCTGTTTGTTCCGGCTACTCTCCGAAACGGCTGAACCGATTTTGACGGAACTTTCACTGGCAGATAGCTGATGTAGTATGTAGTAACTTAGGTTACTTTTATTATAGAAAAATAATTAGAACCCATAAAATACAATCGTAATAAATTGCACGTGGGCGAAGTCGAGGGGAACAGCTAGTAATATAATTAACAAAATAAATCTAATGAATACCACAAGATCAATGTGTTCATGCAAGTTTTTGCAGCTGGCGGCGAACTGCTCAGAAGTCGCGAACTCGAAGTACCACAGCTTATTCTTCATGCGCGAGCTGAACTTGTCCGGGTTTCGTTCTCTTTCCGTGTGGAATTTCACGCAGATGGCCGCATCCTGGAACAACAGAGTTGGTCACTTTGAGAAAATTCAGATTTGTGACGTCACATTAGTACTAAATATTATAATCTATATATTAACACTAAAGCTTTGTACCCCTATTCAACCGAATTCAAAAAAAGGAGGAGGTTCTCAATTCGACTGTATTTTTTGTGTTCTTTTTTATTTTGAAAGCTGGTGCTTCTCATGTAGTCCCATATAGATATGATCAAGATCACACCAGCAGTTATTGAGTTATCCTTAATAATGCGTATTTAATTGACTTCGATTACATTGACGATGTTCTCATTTTATTTATATTGCGGTACAAAATTTTTTAAGCATATTGCACGCACGGAGGATCGTGAGATTCGTTTGGTTTGTTAATCATAAAAATAAATAAAATTGAAGTGCCTGTTTGTAATGTCAAAATAACAGTTTTTTACTAAATGAAATATGAAAGTATATACGGTACTTATAACAAAACACTATTGTTAAAATTATTGTCTCTTTGTTTGTTCCGGCTAATCTCTGGAATGGCTGGACTGATTTTGACGGCACTTTCACTGTAGCTGATGTTATAAGGAGTATCTTAGGCTATTTTTGTTTTTGAAAAAGAATTAGGGTTCCGCGCAAAAAAATAAAACACGTCAAATCCAATCGTAATAAATTACATGCGGGTGAAGTCGCGGGCAACAGCTATGTATAATATGTGTTACAAATTCATTAAATTAAATTATAGAAACATTAATTGTTTATGTTCATACTGTCAATGACAAACACATATAAGCCTGTCGTTTGTTTACGTTAATGCTGCAAATGTCAAACGCATAGTAGTCTGTGGTCAAACAATTGCACAGAGCAAATATTGACACCAATTTTTTTTAAATGGTGTCAACAAGTACCTACTTAATTTACCTACTTAATTTTGTGTGATTTTAAATGTTCCTTTTTAATAGTCTGTGCAGTGTATGTCATGGCAAAACAGCGTCTATTTTAAATTTTGTATATGAGATATCTGTGTTTTAATATGCAGTTGAAAGTAAGCAATTTTTTTTATAGGACGAGCCCACAGTCCACCTGAAGGTAAGTGGATTCTGTTGCCCATTGAAATCTACATTTATCCTCGATTAAAAATCAAAATGCAGATGTGTTGTCAACCCTAAGGACTAAGATAGAATGCCTCGTTTCCAATGAAAACGGTCTCCGGTTCTCCACACTTACAATACGAAACACAGCAACCTGAAACTGCTATTTTACGCTCTTATTCTGTGAGAGCGTGGTCCTACCCCGGTCGAGCCGACCCATTCATACTACAACTATAATATAGCTGCAGCTTGGCTCTACCACGTAATATATAGCTTGCTTTTCATTTAATGCTTGAATTTCGATTACTAGGCGATCACTGGTAATTTGAAAACTGCCATGGGATTCTATTAACGTGTCTCGTCATTTCTATCAAACATAGATTTTGTATAATTCTGTAACTTCATTCAATTCTATAATGATTATGCGATCTTAGTATCTTTCGAGTAGCGCAGCTGACGACGTGCTGAGTGATTCTAACAAAAATACAACGCCCGAGGGCTCTATTGACGCTTTTGACAACGTGAAGAGAATATTGAAAAGGTAAATTGTCACAGAATTTGGAATACGTGTTCATAGCATATATATCATTATCATTTTAAGTGTAGAACATCAATCAAAAGTAAAATTATGGAAATATACCTACATATATATGGTTAAAGATGTTTTTCCCAAAAAGACATTTTAATATACATACATATTGATTGATAACCGTGTAGTGGTGGTAAAAGAATATCCACTAACCCATATGTGGGTGTCATAAAAGGCGACAAAGGGAAACAAATCAGAAAATAGGCAGCGGCATCTTCCTTTTTTATATAAAAGGGGGCAAATGCGCATGCGGCTCGCTATAAAAAAAATTAGCATCTTTTCTTGAATATCCCTAAGTCCTATCGTTCCAGAAAAATCGCTGGTGGTAGCCATAATAACAACTGGAACTTCTATGAGGCAATCTATATTTGTAGTGTAATGATGATGGAGATAATGAACAAACATTTGGACTCGGAGCCATTGCATCTAGGCAGTGGCGGATTTACACATTTGCCGCCAGTACGCTATTGAAATTTTGCCGCCCCTACCGAGCTCTACAATTAGATACCCTGGTTCACTATCATATTACACATTGTGCACAATCGTCCTAATTACTCCACCCTTTCCCGTAATTAGTATGATTGTGAACTAGACTATTGATGTGTCAGTTCCTAGATTATTTTTACAATCCAATGATTTAGTTAAGATTGCACAATAAATAGTTTTTGGCTGTATTTCTGATCTAATAAAGGCTCAATCATATACTAATAATAAGGCGGGGTAAAGCATGCCTTAATACTACTTATAGAATTATGTACATTCGGTAAAAAACGCAATTAAATAATATTTATTGCGCTTACTTATAGTTTGAATTCTTGTTCATTAGTTCTGACTCTATGTACAAAAGAGCTAAGGCATTTAGTTTTTCTTGGCTTAAGGTAAATCTTAGATCATTTTTCACCCGATTTAAGCAAGAAAAGCCTCCTCACCCGAACAATCTGTCGCTGGTGTAAAGGTAGAGCTATGCGAACTGCTATTAATGATATAAATTTTGGATAAACGTTTTGCAAATTCTGTCGCAGGAACGAAGATAAACTTTTCAGTAATCCAGAATATGTTTCCCTCAAAATCCTTTAGAAGAAAGGTGGCATTGAAAAAAAATGAATGGTGGCATTCTTGAACTAAGTCTGTCTCTAATACATTTCTTCCAAGAAAAGGGCTTTTCCTGTAAGGATTGATGATGACAATCCACTCATTTTGGTCAAAAATGAAAACTTTTCATTAAACCTGTTGTAGGCTTCCTGCCGTATTTTTTTTAATTCGGATACGAGTCTATCAATGAGGATGAGACATGTGTTAGCCCTGAGAGTATCACTCATAATTATTTTAATTTTTTTTTATAGGTTGTTTCATTATGTTTTTTCCTTTTCGGTTGTCTTTTTACCCCCATATTTCGTATACTGCTTCGAAGCAGTACGCTTAATTCCGAAATTATCGAAATAATTTTCTCGTTCAGTTGCGAAAAACTTACAAGAAAAGTGATATAATCTACGGTAGAAGCCTGAATTTATACATTCACTTTGTTTATTCTTTCCAAAAAAACAATCCACACAACAATCATTACCAATATTTCAAGTTTTTCTAAAGTCAAAAGTATTCTCGTCGCTTCGTTTCGCGTTACAGGCTTATTGGTACAATCATTCTTGATTAATTCCCAAGTTTTAAGGACTTCATGCAAAGAATTTCTTAAACTTCTATCTGCATGCTCTTTAGCTGACCAACGTGTCAGATTTATTATCTTTAGTGTTTTCTCTTTCCCTATTTCAGTCAATATTTTTTGCCAGCGTTATATTGAACTTACAAAATATACGTAGATTCTTTGAAGCAACATGAAGAAGCTACAAGCTTCTGTGCAAGATTTAGCAGGTGCAATTGCTCTAAATTTAAAGAGTGGGCAGAGCAAGGAACGAAGAAAGCAAAAGGTGTTTAGCTTTGAATTTTAGCCTGTAGTAAGCCATTGTACACACCAGACATGTTCGCAACATTATCATATGACTATCCACGATAGCCATCATATGCTTGTCAATATTTATGACCAGTGTATTGAGTTCCAAAATAATGGCAGAAAACACTTCTTAGCTTTATATTCCACTGAGAGCAAAAACTTGAGAAATATTTCACAGGGTTCGTCTGTTTCTAAAACGTAAGTTCCAAAATGTAAGTTGGTCCACATGTCCCATATTTGGTGTTGAATCGATGATAAGAAAAAATATTTCGACCTTCTTATCTCGTCTCTAATCTGTTTTAAAAGTTTATTTACAGCTAAGCTCATCGCAAACGCTTTTTGATAAGTAGTTCTTAGTGCTTCCAGATTCTTGATTCCCAAATCGTTCAATATGACTGGCTAAACCAGGATCTAATTTAGCTAACAGTTTCATAATTATACAATAATTTTCGTTGTATAGATCACCCAACTTTTCATTTTTCCTCTGAAAGTTTGATTACGGCAACGAATTTCTCAGAACGTTTCTCTAAAAGGTAATTTCTTCATAAATCTGGACATGCAGTAAATTGTCGTGTCGGCCATCAATATTACTTCTAACTTACAGACTAAGGACATTTATGACGCGCAGACTTTTCATGCTGAACTATTCAAAATTCTGCATTTTTCAAGTCATTAAATCCTTTGTTCTCAAACTGAACCTTATTCTCCGATGGACCGAATGCCAAACAGAGCCCGTAATACCATTTAATATAGGATAAACCATCCAATTTCGGTCATTTACATCATTATTTTTCATTTTTCTTTGGAAGATACTTGCAAGAAACGACGCTGATCAGCATATATTTTTTCTCTTTTAGAGAAGTCACAAGACTTGCTTTGATCGTAGCCGTACCTTGCGATAACCTCCGTTACGGTATCGTTGATTTTCCATAAAGCTAGATCTTGCTGTTTTCACTCGGTTATTACTTAACGTCTGATTCTGAGATAATTCCTCTAGCGCTTCTTCGTCAAAAAATAAATATCCGTCTTTTTTTCTAAAGTAGTTTGTTCAACAGATGACTGTTGTTTTTGAGCCACAGAGTTCAAATCAGTTTCATCTTTTCCTGATTGTATTGTGGCAGTGCATGTTATTGAAGTACCTGGTCTTTCAACACTACTTATACTTCCACTTAAAAAAAAAAACTGTCGATTTTATCGCTTTACGGATAATCTATCCTTGATCTTCTTTTTTCATTTTGGCTTTTTTTCATCATCTATACATTTCATCACTAACTTTTTTTAATCAAAGAACTAAAATAAAAGAGATTATATTTTCTCTCGGGAGCGCCACGCTAACTCGGCATTTTGGTCAGACACTAAGCGAATGGTCATGTCACTCGTTTCCACACCACAATCAAACGCGATTACGCAAAATGTTGAAACATTTATCTAATATAAGTGGTGAAACATATTACATGTTGAATTGTTTGTGGACCTAATAAAATTTAGGTAGTATAAAAATATGAATCTTTTTAATTTCTGTAAAACACAAAAAAAAATTGACCCGAGATTTGCCGCCCCTAAAATCTGCCGCCCTAGGCTCCAGCCTACTAAGCCTGCTGGTAAATCCCCCACTGCTTGCAGGCCATAATAATCCTTATTCCGTTCAGGTATTGAACCCGCAGCTCGTAACGTTACAGCCAATCTTTTAGCAACTAAGCTATAGAGTGAATAATATTCACGTATTTAATAATATTCGTATTGAAATAAACTTACCACGCCTACAGAAAAGTAATTGTTGATGATGTTGTATGGGACGGAAGTGGGATGTGGGCCGGAATTGGGCATCTGAAGCTGTTCACACTGCAATGAAATAAAATACGTTGTTCAATATTAATATAGCATGTGTTAATACTACCAGCATACTCACATAACTCACATTTAACAACTTATAATTGTCAGGTTGTTGGTTGGGGTCAATTTACACCATAATGATTCAAGTAGAATGACAAACGAGCACACATTTCACCTGATGGTAGGTAGATGCCGCCGGGACCAATGAAATTGTTAATATGTGTAAGTGCTGATTTATCACTCTGAATTTTTTTTTATTTCTCATACATGCAAGTTTCTTCACGATAATTTCCTTCAACGCCGAGCACGGTAAATCAGCACTTAAAATTACAATTAATAAGTGAAACTATTACTTTATTATGAAACAATAGGTACGAATTTAAAATGTTCCCACCTGTGCCCAGCAGTGTGACGTATATAGGCTGTAGCTTTCACTTTAAGTTTTGATCCATAAACTTTTAAACGTTGACTAGAAATTGTTACTACAATAATTAATTACGGTAGATTCTGCATTACAAGAAACAAGACTACGTTGCCGATTTGTTTATTACAATACAATCAAGAAATAACATTAGTCTATCTAATTTATGAATTACAAATGGAATAAACTTTAGTTAAAAAACACTAAAATAATATCTATGATGATGGATAATGGCACACATTCATATTATTTTTATTATGATTTCTACACCACCGAGCACGTGGTGCATCAGCACTTAAAATTGCTATTAACAATTTTAACATTGGAATCTAACCCGGGTTGCCCGTGTAATGCGATATTTACAGTGACCGCTTAGCCCCTGTGCTACCACGGGTCTCTTCATAACTGTTCTTGTGCAGAAATAAAAAAAAAACTTACATCAGCATTGGTGTTTTCAACGTAGATTTGCCATCGGTCCATCATTACGGTACTTGCGCGGGCTATTTTGTCGAGGATCTTGTGTATCGATTCTCCCTCGTAGCTAATGAAAAATACCAAGGACAACCAATATAAGTCAAACAAGTGCACCAGTCATCCCAAACCACAAAAAGAAAGGTTATGTTTCACCAAGTGCAAATCGCAAGTATGAAATATTTTATTAAATAAGGTTTATAGAAGTAAATATTTTAAGATCTGCAATAAACACAGAATAAAGGACATGAGAGCAATATTAAGTAATAAGATCATGTAGTAGAATAAACTCTTTATACTCTTTATTACTTACTACCTTTTTATTCGTAACATTTTTAAGGTATAGTGTGACAAACGAGCAGACGTTCTATCGGATGGTAAGCGGATGATATGGCCTATTGACTAGATGTCAATAGGTAGGCCTAATATTAGCCAAATTAATAATTATGTAGGCAAAATTATATAGGCCAGATATTTTAAAATAGAATGGATATGATTGTGACATTATACATATTATTGTGTTGTTTAAAATGGTAGTTGTCTAAATTGATTTACTAGCAAAACAAGTGGTTGAAACAAATATTTATAACATAATAAGTCTGGCGTATATAAAGTATGAAAGTGTTGCATTATGTCATTGTTTTTTTTATAGGATAAGGGTAACAAACGAGCTCTCAGTCCACCTGATATTAAGTGATTACTGTGGCCCATAGACATCTACATCTATCCTCAATTGTAAATCAAAATTTGGATGCGTTCTCACCTCTGAAGACTAAGATAGAATGCCACGTTACCAGTAAACTCGTTACCATCATACGAAACAAAGCAGCACTAAGCTGCTATTTTACGCTGGTGTTTTGTGCGTAATGCTTCGCCGTAATGCTTCGGTGAAACTGAACTCTTCGCCCCGCAGCTATAATACGCTGCAGTGTGGTTCTACCACGTAAAAGCTATTACGTAAGAGGTTTTGGTTTTATTAAATTTTTATAGACATCCTTAAATTTACTTTTCCCGTTTTAGAAGACTTTATTTTCAGTTCTATGAAATTATTTGAATTCGAACACCTAGGTATTAATTTTAATCGTTTCGCTTACCCTCCTCCCCATCGTAAACACCGTGCCAAATCGTTGCCAGTACCAAGCGGGATCACTCCAACAGCTGGTTGCGTCTCCATGGGAACTTTGTCTATAAAGCAATAGCTGTTTTAGTTGCATACAAGTAAAAAAGCTTCTCTAAGTAGTTGTGAAAGAATTAAAAAGAAAAACAGTGTGTGTCGTGAAGACACGATAGAAGTGAAACTTTTGTATTACACCATCGATCGCTAATAAAAATCTAGATACACAATCCCATGCAAAAGTTCTCTATAAACGGCTCCGTGGTGCAGTGGCTTAGCAATGAGTTGCTGCGCCGGGGGCCGCGGGTTCGAATCCCGCACGGAACAAGAATTAGTATGGCCTACAAATAATTGTTCCGGGTCTGGATGTTTGTCCTCGTGCAATGTATGTTTGTAAACTGCCTCCACGATACAGGAGAAAATCCTAGTGTGGGGGTAACGTTTTTCAAAAAGAAAAAAAAATTGTTTTGACGTAATTCTAGTTGAAATAAATATACGATAATGTAAATTCAACCTTGAGTGCATTACCTAAAGTTGTATTCACAAAACTACGTACAAATTAAAAGCGCACCCAAATATTCGAGTGGGCGCTCATTCGGTAAGGACATTTTTGTTACTGATTGTGTATCTAGTTTTTTTATAAGTGATCGATGTTTTTGTTCCATAAAATATGACTTTACCTATATAATGTAGTAGATGGGGCTAAAACTGAAATGGGATCACTCTTTCTAAAATAAATACGTGTACCTTGGTATAATATAAGATTAGTATTTGAATGAAAGACCGTTGTAATCACATAATTGTATAGTATATTATAATTTATGGTATGTGGTAACAGTGGTAGAGCCATGCGGCAGCTTTTGCTGTCGCATGGATGGGCCGGCCCGAACCGGGGTGGTACCACGACCTCACAGAAAACCAGCGTGAAGTAGAGGTTTGCCTCTGCGTTTCTCTTGGTGAGTGCAGGTGGCCGGAGGCCCTTTTTACTGGAAATGAGGCATTCCACCTTAGTCCTCACGGGTGACAACGCATCTGCATTTCGTTTAATGTAGATGTCTATGGGCCACAGCAACCACTTACCATCAGGTGGACTGTGTGCTCGTTTGTCACCCTAATCCTATAAAAAAAAATGTAATGGCCTGCGTTCGAGATTTGAATGATCGACCTGAATGACCCGGTACGTTGTGTTTACCCCCACCACTTTTTGTCACACAAAAAGGTTGCGGATCAGAATTTCAAAGACCTCCCATAAAAAGTTTCACTTCAAAAATAAGATTCAACGCGCGATTGGAGTTAAGTGCTTAAGAAGCTGTGGGACCATTGTATTCACAATTTAGTGTTGTTTTGTTCTTAGCGAAATAACGAAAGGTGTTATTCTTTCAAATAGGGCGATGTTATTGGTTTATGTTGAAGAAAACAAATTATTCAACTCGTTGACTCTAACACAACTTACATAATAATATCAACTGAGCATCTTTGTGTTCGAAAAAATGTATTAACATTTTTGACCATTAAAATTGTCAGTTATTTTTACTAACTAATAACTAACGATGTTCGCGCTCAACGCTGTCAAGAATCGACGCCAGATGTCACTCGGCTCGGCGCGATACCGGTTTGACTTTCGGTCGTGCGAAAAACGCCCAAGGGCAGTCAGTCGTCCTTAGGCAGTGCTCACGATTGGCACGCTGCCAATTAAGCGCGGGAACTCGGAATAATTAAGCGCGGACAGTAAAAATACGGTCTAGGAATTTTGTGGCGCGTATCCCTACTGGAGAGCTTCCCCGGGACTTATTGGGTCCGACTCAGAATCTGTATAAGTCCATTAGGCAATATTAGCTAGTGCGGCCTCTGATATTCTAGAACTAACTGTTGCGACGCGAAACGGTAGTGACCTTTAATAAACTGTAAGCTCCGTGTGCGTTTTGTGTGTTAACCTTATAACCCGCGATAGTTAGTGGCTTCTGTAAGTTAGTAAATCGTACGATAGAGTTAATTGATTGTCAACGTGACGAAAGAAGAAAGTGACTGTGGACAACCTCGAAAGGCCCAAGGCTCAAGTTGGAGCGGTGTCGACGCTCGGGCTGCTGCCGACGGCCAAGGTCTAGGTTCAATCACCATCAGTCACACCCAGATACACACCACATCACCATTCTTTCCCTTGCACTACACAACCACATGCGACCTGACCGACTCCGGAGGGACCAGTCGCCTTGGATATAGGTAAGTAAGCTTCGTCCAAATACCTTCCGGTCGACTGGCCGTAGTATAACGCTCCCCCACATATTTTAGTGTAATTAGAGAGATTCCACGTGGCCACATTGAGGCCCGACCTACGTTTGCTCGGGAAGTCTTCTGCTCATGGGCCCCAGAGGATTGGATCCTTTAAGGGAGCACCCGTAGGCCGTAACAATTCTGGTAGCAGAGCGCGGTTCCGGGTTCGATTCCCGGTCGATCCCGACCATAGTGTTTGATAAACATTAAACAATTCTGGTGGCAGGGAGCGTTGGTTTGATTGGTTTAATTTGTATCTACAATCACGCCCGTCCGTAATACGTAAAAATATTTTTTTGTACGTAATAATAGAATTATTTCCCTTTGTTGTTTGTTGCTTGCCTTTTTTTTTGGTTAGTAGGTAGTTTGAAAAGCCGCGCCCTAGGTTGCGCAAGCGGGAGTTTTTCTAGAGATATACGTCATGTAGGTAGATGGTTATTTTTACGTAATCGGTTAATTATCGTTGTCGGATAGTTGTAGTGGATTACTTATCGAAGGGTCGATTTCCGAGCTAGGCATTTTTTGTTGATCGACCGTGATGTGTATCTTCGTTTATATTGTAATTTGTATTTGAACTAAAGAGTAGTAATTGTATTTGCGCAATTTGAATTTAACTTGATTTGATCGCACTAGTATTTGTTATTTGTTAATCTGATTTGTGTCTTTTCTTTTGTGCTAACTTTTATTTGGTTGATACGTAGTAATTCGTATTTGTGTAATTTCTATTCAACGCGATTTGATAGGAACTGCATTTATTAACTGTTAATTTTTGTTGTATTTTTTGTTTGTTATCTTTGTAATCTGTGCTCAAGCCGCGTCGTAATTTGCATTTAATAGTGATGACATCGCCCAAGCTACTGATCCGTTGTTTGCGGACTGAGCTACGCTGGGCCACAAGCGCCCATGCTTTGATAGGTCGACCGGATAGGGTCCATAACTTGATGAAGCGGTTCGAGCAGGTGGATGCTCGAAGGGCCGCAGTGGAGGAGGCTTACGCTGAGCTCGAGGATTCGGATGTGGAGAAGGGAGTCCTGGACTCCTGCTTCGCGGACTATGAGCAGTTCTTGTGGCTCACGGACGAGTTGATCGAGGCTGAAGGCAGGTATGCCGAGGAGGCGCGTGAAGCTCGGATGAGTGACCTGTCCAAGTCCTCTCTGAAGCAGCTTCAGCCGGAGCTGTTGGGACGACTCCCAACTCTGGACCTGCCAAAGTTCTCCGGGGTCCTTTCCGAATGGCTGACCTTCGTTGGTCTTTTCGACAGCCTAGTGGACGCCCGGAGTGACTTGACCCCGAGCCAAAAGATGGTGTACCTCCTGGCCTCACTGGAGGGGGAGGCCCTGGGCGTCGTCGGCCACTTGAGATTGTCGGACGACGCCTACCAGACTGTTCGGAACCTCCTAGCCAGAAGATACGCCAACGTCCGGCGAATTGCGGACGAACATGTTAAGCAGCTTCTAAGCCTCCCGCTGCTAAGTGACCGGGTCAGACTGCGTCCGGACCTGTTGGATCCAGTCTTGGTGGCCTGTAATACGTTGAGGCGGCTGGGTTTACCAGTGGGCGAATGGACTTTTTTGTTGCTCCGCATCGTGCTGTCCCGTCTACCTCTCGACCTTCGAATCCATTTTGAGGAGAGGTACGGCGGGGACGAGGCCACCTATATTCCGCCTTTCTATGACCTGCTGCAGTTTTTGAAGGAGCAGTGCCGGCAGATAGAGAGCGCGGCGGGCACCGTTGACGACTTACGAGCCGTGCCCAGTGAGAGGCTGAATCCTCCAGGCAAGTCGTCGTCAACCCCCCCCCCTGCTTCTATTGTCGAGCATCTGATCATCGGGTAACGTCGTGCCCGAAATTATTAGGTAAGCCGGTTCCAGCGAGGCGAACTATCGCCAAGGAGCGCCGCTGGTGCTGCTCATGTTTGGGAGGACACCTCCAGCGAGACTGTCCGCATCGGCGGCTCTGTCTGCATTGCCAGGGCAATCATCATGCCGTTTTGTGCCTGAGTGCGAACGTCTCCTCTCGGGGCTCTGCCAGGCCCTCGACCCCCACGGGCGGGGGCGCTCAGCCACGCCCTCTGCCGGGCGACTTTCGGCGCCCGCCGGCCAGCCATCAGGCCCCTAAGTTTGAAAGGGGTCCCTCCCCCGACCAGTCGGGGGGTAATTCCCCCAGGGGCGGGGGTGTCATCACCCCCCCTAAGCGTGTGGAGAGGAACTTCACGGCCACTCATCGGTCCGCTGGACTCTTCTCACTCCCGTTAGCTGAGTGGCCGCGACTGGTGTACCACTGTTCCCCATTTGATGGAGGCGGCCCTGGCTAGCTGCAGCATTAGCTCCCACCACGGCCACCTCCACTGAGCCTTAAGCCGTCAACAGTCCACTTGTCAAAATGTTCTGTTGGCGACGGCCTCAGTGAAGGCGTACAACCCGAGTGGCGACTGTTAGCGATCTCGGGTTCACGCCATGTGGCCTCCACTTGGTGGTGGGAAGATTAGGGCCCCTCTGGAGCGTTGAATCACGCTGTCAAGGGGTATTAGATTTGGTTTGGTCGAGCACTTAGTCAAAAAATACTTGAATTAAATTTAAAAATTGCTTTGGGCTTTCCGCGAAATTTTCCTATTTGTAGCGGTTTAAATTAAAAGAATTGAATTTAATCTACTCCTTTAAATGCTACTGCATGTGTTTTGTACATATATTTAATCACTGTATTTGATTGTTGCGTCTGTTTGCTGAAAGGAAATTGAATGGCACGCTATTTGAAAAATTATGTAACATATACATAGATAGTGTTTAATCATTTTGCTTTGCGAAGAAGTAGGGCTGTCCCTTACGTTATTGTTTTGTTTAATTTGCAAGTGGACCTATGCGCATCGGTGATTAATTTGGTTGAATTAATTCTGTAGTTGAACATTGATGCTTTTGAAAAATTAGTTGAAATATGAGCATAGGACTACTTGCCTAACAGGCTAGCTAGTTTTGGAGATTATCAGATTGAAATCAGCTGCCGCACTATGTTAGTAAATGATAATATGGTGGGTGGCCTGGCCTAGGCCTAGGCCTACTTGTTGAAAATTCATACTAGGGACTATCTGTGCGTTTCGTTCGGCTCTCCACAGACGACGTTCATGAGGAATTTGTGGGTGCTCTCTGCACTGAAGCTTAGGAGGCCGCTCGGGGCCGCTTCGTGTCGCGTCGCTGTTTGCAGAGCTGATCCGGTCGGATTGCGGAACTAATCGTAGGGGCACAGATAGATGTTTGAAAGAGGTCGTCAGACTTCTGTCCAGTACAGGACTTGTTAAAATGCTGCGATGCCCAGGAGGGGCATCCAGTGGAGGCTGGCCCTCCGGCTTGCCACATTAGGGCTGTCTTTTGAGGCGTTGTTAGGGTTGCAAGATCTGATGGGTTGCCTAAGGTGGCCTAGTTTGGTTGTAGATTCGGTCTTGCAACTTGCAGTCTCGACCTAGTCCCGCTGACCGGTTTGCTCGCGGACCTAAATCCTTATGTCCGGGACGGGGGTTTGTTCGCGCTCAACGCTGTCAAGAATCGACGCCAGATGTCACTCAGCTCGGTGCGATACCGGTTTGACTTTCGGTCGTGCGAAAATCGCCCAAGGGCAGTCAGTCGTCCTTAGGCAGTGCTCACGATTGGCACGCTGCCAATTAAGCGCGGGAACTCGGAATAATTAAGCGCGGACAGTAAAAATACGGTCTAGGAATTTTGTGGCGCGTATCCCTACTGGAGAGCTTCCCCGGGACTTATTGGGTCCGACTCAGAATCTGTATAAGTGCATTAGGCAATATTAGCTAGTGCGGCCTCTGATATTCTAGAACTAACTGTTGCGACGCGAAACGGTAGTGACCTTTAATAAACTGTAAACTCCGTGTGCGTTTTGTGTGTTAACCTTATAATCCGCGATAGTTAGTGGCTTCTGTAAGTTAGTAAATCGTACGATAGAGTTAATTGACCGTCAACGTGACGAAAGAAGAAAGTGACTGTGGACAACCTCGAAAGGCCCCCTCAAGTTGGAGCGGTGTCAACGTTCGGGCTGCTGCCGACGGCCAAGGTCTAGGTTCAATCACCATCAGTCACACCCAGATACACACCACATCACCATTCTTTCCCTTGCACTACACAACCACATGCGACCTGACCGACTCCGGAGGGACCAGTCGCCTTGGATATAGGTAAGTAAGCTTCGTCCAAATACCTTCCGGTCGACTGGCCGTAGTATAACGCTCCCCCATATATTTTAGTGTAATTAGAGAGATTCCACGTGGCCACATTGAGGCCCGACCTACGTTTGCTCGGGAAATCTTCTGCTCATGGGACCTAGAGGATTGGATCCTTTAAGGGAGCAGCCGTAGACCGTAACAAACGATTATCGCCATTTTTACACACGTTCAGTATAAGATGCGCGAACGTGTTGCGCTAAATAACGACCTCACTTTTTGTTAATACCGATTTCGCTCCCGAACTAATCTGTGTACCGCGGGCTATACAAGAAAATCGATTCTTAATCTTTCTTAAATTCGATTTTTCACCAGTGAAAGCATTATCATTATCAGAGGGGTAGTTCAAGTATTACGTAAGCAAACTTTTTATGATTTTAGACCCCAACAGGAGGGTTGGTATAAGCAAATATAAAAAAATTGTGAACTCTTCCCTCCCTCAAATGAAGAATTTTGTCAAAACTTTTATAAATATTAAAGTTAGAATTTAAAAGACTCAATTATTTTTTAAATTAAAGCATTCGTGTTTTAATAAAATTTGAAAATTGAGAATAATTTATTGTCCACGGGCTCCGTTTCTTCTCAATTCATGCTAAACTTCGTTAACTTATCACTTACGTAAAATTTGTAATATTCTCCCCGTTCCCTTTGTCAGCAAAAGTAAGAAAAAATTGAACCCCCTAAGCCTGCTTACGTAATACTTGAACACCCCCTGATAAGCATTTTTCTGATTGTTGGAATTACCACCAAGCTTGCGTAACACTTTTATGATAAGATCGGATTTTCTATGGCTGGGGTTGGAAAATAGCGAATTAATTTTTGAACTAGAGTTTTGGTAAAGGTTTTTTTTTTTATTTAATAAATCAACATAAAAAAAGTTTAAATTAATCAAACACGGTGTCGCAAAAACCTAACAAGGTTTATCTGTACACCATGCTTCATCGACGGCACTCGGTGCTGCTTAACCTACGTACGGACATTGTCTCTTACATATTACGGTAAATACTTATAACATGCTTTAAAATCGTAGCGAAGATCCACACGCTCACAGTAAGGTAAGGTAAGGTTGTTTAAGCGGTTACAATAATAAAACGTAATTTTTTTGGCGGTCAATGGTTGTAGGCTATTAGGTAATTATCGGGGCTAGTGATAAAAAAGATATTTATGGTAAAGAGCGGTTTCTGAGAACCTTTCTCAGACGAGAAAACCCTACGAGTAAAACGAGAGAAAGTAAATAATGTCCTTGCTATAAATAATGCGCCAGTTCGCATGCATTATTCGAAGGATTTGCTTATACTCATTAAGTCAGGTGGGTTGGTGAGTAGAAAGTTGATATCCGCCTACTGGTAATGCTGCCGTCATGACAAGTCTATGAAATAAACGGATGCTTTTTTTTGCCGAATCAGTTGCTAAACCTCGTCCAACAGTCAGCTGGGTGCATTGTGCACGAGAGATTGGTACTTGAAAAAAATTGCTATTTTATTTTTGTTTGAAACATCTGTTACATCGTAATATAAATGAAATATTTTACTATAGTAAAAAATATTTTGTCTAATATAAGAAAATAATTATTTTACCCATCGTTTCTAGAACCCAGCCAACAGTGCCATCTCCTCCACAGCAAATTACTCGGTAGTTTTTCACGTCTTTAAACATCTGTAAACCTGAAAATTAAATGACATTTAAATTTTATTTGAATTATATTAATAGAACAGCCCAGTTATAACAAAAAATTACTACTCTGAAAGGTGTAAGATAAATCTACACAAGGACGATAGACTAATGGGGGAAAATCTTATTCGATTATCTGCCGTCATAATAAAAAAGACACATAACAAAAAAATAATTACATACGTATTTAGAGCCATTAAAAAGGAAGTAATTGACCTGAAATACTTAGATTTGCCTTTTTTGTTGTCGTATAAAGTTTTACTTCATAAGCTTTGAGACAAGTGACGGAATAAATTACAGAAAAAAAGATGCTTTTAAAATTTCCCTATTTTGACAGAAACAGTGTCTAAAATGCTACTGTTATCGCTTAATCATTTATTTTATTTAGCGATTACTACCTCCATTTTAAAAGACATCCATATCCAGAGTACTGTTTACAGGCATTTAAAGAAGTTCTTAAGATTTCTATGATATATTATTTGTATATTATAAGTTAGGTCAAGGAAAATATATAATACGTTTAGTAATAATTTAAAGTGAACCCAAATTCTTGTAAAGTTAAAATGGTGATGTGCACATCACCTGGTGAATACTGCGATGATATCGGCGCTGCGATTTTTTAAGCTGTGGATTTTTATGTAAATACCTAGGTATATAGAATGGATAAATATTACAAGAAAGGCGCATTAATTAAAATAACGAACGGTCAGCGCTGGTTTTAAAAGGATAATCTAGGAAAATAGGAGGATCTCACCAACTTCTGTTTAATGACGCCTCAATAAAATTCATCACTTTATTTCAATGACAATTTTTTTTAATTTTGACAACGTAAACATAAGTATTTTATCTTTTGACCACAGTCTAACAACTACTACTAACAGTCGGTCATCGAAAGCATCTAGACGGGGCAATCGAGCGGTGCATTGCGGTGCGGAGCAAGACGCGGTCTGAACACTTCCCGTCCGCTAAGGGCCGCTCAGGAAGTGCTCAGCCTGCTCAGCCGCAAATAAATTAAAATGGTTCACAGTACATGTTCTGACAACCCTAGCAATTTATTGTTTATGTTGGCTTTTCCGACAACATGAAACGCGATGACTGAATGTAGAGTTTTGGCGGGAACTTGACCGGCGACTGACTGCTGCTCCTGTATTATTGTTTAAATAATGGTTTGAAGTGCATTTTGATATGTAAAAGTTGTGCGATTTTGTGTATTAAATGTTTACGCATGTGAACTATTAGTGGAAACGGTGAAACAAGGGCTCTGATGGTGATGTGATTTTCAAGATAAGGTGTCTGTCTGCTTAGGCGCCTTGAGATACCATCGCCAACTGTCAGCTGTCTGCTGGCTCAAGTTGCCATCAAAATCTTCCAAGGGCTGCACAATGTGACGCATCAACATATTGTGAAGCAGTGAACTATGAAGAATAATTATTACTTCAGGCTCAGAAGGGCTAGAACCCAGAGCCATAAAGCCCGTAAGGAAAAGATGACCGACTGTATATTTTTCTTAGGCTTTGATTTCACCATACGGTGGCGTTACTAAAGCGATATAATTACGTCGCTGACATTTGAAAAAAAAAATTAAAATTACATGAAAAATCAATTCTTAATTTTTTTTTGATTTTTCTTAATAATTTTTAGTAAACTTTCAAAAAGAAAATAAAAAAATCCATGCAACTTCTCTATTGCCAAACATGACGATTAAAGCAATAATTCCTCAACAACGGGAGAGAAAGAATAGAATAGAATAATTTTTATTTAATATAGATCGATCATGTTGTGTTGGCAAGGCGTAAGCCTTCGGTACCTTCAACACCCAAAACTAACGCGCTTACGATTGCTGGGGGTTATACCCCCGGCAATCGTAAGCGCGGCCGTCTCACGGCCAACGTCCTCTCTCCAGGCTCAAAAGACCAAAACCGCCCCTCGGGCATTTCGACCTTCGCTGATAACTTCTTGTTAGTTTGTAGCTTCATCAGCAACATTATTGTTGCTGAAATCCCTCCCCTCTCCCGCAAACTTCGCGAGTCCAAGAACACATAAGATAAGCTCAATACTACCATTGAGCATATCAATCTAATCGACGCGATTGGCTCCTTCAAATGCGCCTAAGCCGACTTTTTATGAAGCCGAAGAAATTGTGTACTTTTTACGCGATCATGATGTCGACATCATGCTAGTTCAAGATACTTTTTTGAAACCTAGTGTGCGCGATCCCAAAAAGCTAATTGTAACTTAGTAAGAAATGATAGGCTGACCGGACCTAAAATCGGTTTGTAGGTCCTTGCACTGTGTACCGGTAGATACTCCACCGCTTGCTAACTTAGAAGCATCGGTTTGTAGGATAGCACTTACGGGGCATCAGCCCATCATAATTGCGTCGGCATATCTGCCACCGCAAAAAAATGTATTAGGAGCCGACATCTCGGCTCTTCTAGATATAAGCCTCAGCGTATTAATCGCAGGAGACCTAAACAGAAAACAGGTTAGCTGGAATTCTAGCGTTAACAACCGAAACGGAAACGTTTTATGTGACTTCACGGAGAGACTCAACTTCAACGATATCGCTCCCGAGAGTCCAACTCGCTATCCTTTTTCTATAAACCAACTACCGGACGTCCTTGACATAGCTTTACTAAAAGATATGATGAAGAAATCGATGGATGCTCAGAGAATGAACTGACGTTCAAAGCACAAAATAAGTTAAGTAGATATTTTTTTTATAGGATAGGATGACAAACGAGCACACAGTCCACCTGATCGTAAGTGGTTGCTGTGACCTATACACATCTACATTCATCCTTAACAAATAATCAAAATGCAGATGCTTCGTCACCCGTGAAGACTAAGATGGAATACCTCTTTTCCAGTAGAATGGGTCTCTGGTTCTCTACACTCACCATACAAAACACAGCAGTATCAAGCCGCCATTTTATGCTGGTATTCTGTGAGAGCGTGGTTCTTCTCCGGTTGGGCTGACCCATTTGTGCCTACAACTACGAGTATACTACTAATATAGCTGCAGAATGGCTCTACCACGTATGATATCGGTGCCGTCCGTCCCATCTTTAACTTGACGCACTCAAAAAGAAAGTCGGTGTAGATTTCGAGGCTGTTCTAAAAGACGTAAGACTAAATAAATGTTCCAAATGCGACACAAACTAATGTTTGGCTATGCAGGGAAACTACTACCTAAATTTTTATAGTAATTCTTAAAGAAAAATATTTTTTTTAAAATTAGGGAGGATATAAATCTTTTGTTCGGTAGCTATTTATTTTTATAACAAATTTAGTCATTGTTAAATATTTATAGAAGAGTGAAGTAATTTAAAATAATAAAAAATGCACTAGTAAGTTGTTTTATCTACCAAACAACTTTTCCGAACAGTGATTTTGCCAAAGAAATTAAAGTGGTTTTCTACTACTAAATGTTACAATGAAGTAAACATCTAAAATACTAATAAAAGGTGATTAAAATTAATAAAATGCTTTTATTTAATACTGTCTGAGAGTACTCGTATGAAGACTCGTATTTCTACGTGGTAGAGCCATGCTGCAGCTCTATTATGGTTGTAGCACGAATGGGTCGGCTCGACCGGGGAAGGACCACGCTCTCACAGAATACCAGCGTAAAATAGCAGCTTAACGCTGCTGTGTTTCGTATGGTGAGTGTAGAGAACCGGAGACCCTTTTTACTGGCAAAGAGGCCTTCCATCTTAGTCCTCACAGGTGACAACGCATCTGCATCTTGAGTCTTTATTGAGATAGATATAGATGTCTATGGGTCACAGTAACCACTTACCATCAGGTGGACTGTGTGCTCTTTTGTCACCCGATCCTATATAAAAAAGGACGAAGTCCCATGTACTCTTGCGAAAACATAAGGAAAAACTTCAGGAAAAACCATAGTCGATATTTTTTGATTATTTTTAACATATGCTTCGATATGCTCTTAACATAAATACTCGTAAATATAGTCTGTTCGCTTAGATAAGGTCGCCTCGGTGTCGCGCCACCTTGCCATGTGCCGCATTTTGTCAAAGGCACCGCCGCGACATCAAAGGTCGCCCGAAGAAGAATTTAGCATTTTAAAACTGTTTCCTGAGATACAGGTGATAACCTAATTCAGGAGACAGAGCTCCTTTGTATCTAGAAAAATTTGGTTGCTAATAAACGTTATTTTATTTTTTATTTTTAAAACGAAGCGCCTTAGTGTGATAACTTGTTTTAATAATTTATATTCGTATTTTACTACAATAACCATAAGAATAATTTTCATTTAAATTCTTTTTTATTCTTAGAATAGAAAAACATTTATTTAACAAACACAGTAAAAAATAATAAAATTAAAGCAAGATAAAAAGTGCGCCTCTGGGTGTACCGACACTATAGCGAACAGACTATGAAAATGTTGAAATTTTGGGCAAAAAATTTTTCTCCAAGCTTTACCTCTAGTTAAAACTTAACAATTGTTTAAATAAAACTAATTTTACGGATTTTATCGCGTATATTAACTTATTTTACTTTGTGAACACGTACAGGATCGCCCCCGTCATTACATTAGATTTGATAGACCACAAATCCTCGCTAAAGAACACCGATTCCTTCCAAGGATGATTCGCGAGGCTATTGAAATCAAAAAACATCCTAATTTCAATAGAGAAGATGGCTGGGTGCTACCATCTGCTTGGGATCCCATAATTAATAAAATTAAATCCCAACCCAAGCATACAACTGCAAGACTTCATGATACTGTAAGTTCATACTGCGTAGATCGGAACAAAAATTAATAATTTTTAATCTGGAGGTAGCCGTGGTTAACTATGACATTGGGACGTCATACACCTCAGTCCCCCCCGTGACCATGGGTGCTGTAAAGTGCTTGAAACGTCGGGAAAGTAAAATAAGTTAATATACGCGATAAAATCCGTAAAATTAGTTTTATTTAAATGTGTAGTGTTCGCGTAAATATAAGAAATCATTAACAATTGTTTCAAAAACTTGCCTTGCATTGGGCCGCCTTTAGCGATGTCATGCACCTGTCTTGGATTAAGAATATATTGAAGTTTTCTCAACACTCTAGAGCCCTGACGACCTCCAGATTTAGGATTAATGAATACGAGTAGCGGACAAGAGCCTTCAGGTGGGGTGATTTGGAATGATATGGGCGGCGCTCGTGGTTCCTTCTTATCTTCCTTCTTTTCTTCTGCTGTTGCAGAAATGGATATTGGCAGTGATATTGATATTGGGAGAGTATGCTGGAAACAAAATATTGCAAGCTTAGTTTGGTAATGTAACATTTTTCATTGTTACGCAATTTTAATTGATTTACAAAAATTATTATTATAGGGTTCCTTAAATAACAATCTTGTTATATATATACAATAACTTCAAACGCTTTGTTATATATATACATTAACAAAAACGCTTGAGTTGGCATAGGTCAAGTTTGAGTTTCAACCTACAACGTAAGGTTCACCATCTGTGCCCTATGCCATGAAATAAATCAATTTACATTAACAATGTTCACCTGATCTTGTTGCGTTCGGTGCGGCAGAGACCTCTGGCGGTCGAGGACCAGCGGGCGGATAGCGGTGGGCGGCAGGATGTGCTTAGCGTGGCGGCCCAGCGTGCACGCGCCGCCAGCGCTGCCCACGCACCGGTTGTGCAGCTGTATCATAACGATATTAATATAATATAGGGAATGTGGGCATGCTATACTGGTTTTTACTTGTGACTTGTAAACGGGTCAGAAAGCTTGTCTCAGTTGAGAACTACGCTCACCAAAAAACAACGGTGCTGTTGCTTTTTGGTAACTGACTGAAATTGAAAACAAGAGACGTAATCTTTGACTTTATTAATCTCGTATTTTGAGACTATATACATATACCATATAATTATTTAAGTGTTCAAAATATCAACGAATTAAATACCATATTCAATCTTGTCGCTGGATAGGGGCAGTTATGGGTTGAGTTTTGTGGCAGTTCGAAGGAAGCCTATGGTTAGTAATTGAAGGTTTGTATACATAATAAGACACTGCAGTGTAGTTAGCCGTACTTTGACTTCTTCATCTTGGCACAATTATATCCTAAGTTGTACATTTCACAGAACGCGAGCAATCCGGGGTTTTTAAAAGAGAGAGGGCAAAGGAGCATTCGGCTTTCTGATAGTAAGTGACTTCTGCCGACCGTTAACGACAACAACTTGTAACGTGAATTACACGTGCGTTGCCGGCCATTTAAAAATGAGTAGGCACTTTTCTTGAAGGTTCTTAAGTCGTATCGTTTTGAAAAAATCGCTGGTGGTAGTCAATTTCACAAAAATCGTGTTAGGAAGAAAACCTTTAGTAAATCGCACAGCGGTGGACCTCCAAAGCACCCAAATGGTGTGGGTGGTATCGCGACTTTTATCGAGAGAGAACAATAAGTATTCCATATGGGTTAGATATATGTGAGGATATCTCTTAAGCAATGCATTCCTCCAAAACCCACTATACGGTGTTAATGGGAAACTTCAATGCAAAACTAAGCACAAGAGAGAACGGTGAGCTGAATGTAATTATATTAAAATAAGGAGATTTGGAATAGGGCAATGGAACCCAAGAGGCCAGCTGGTAGCCGACTTCATGGAGAAAGAATTCAAACTCTTTATGATAAACTCTTTCTTCCAAAGCAGCCCCACAGGAAGTGGACCTGGTCGAGCCCCGACGGTTCGACAAAAAATGAGATTGTCTTCATTATGACGACCAGACGACAACTGTTCAGTGAGGTCTCAGTGATCGCGAATATGAAAACTGTTAGCGATCACCGAATGGTTAGAGGCACACTGAACATAAACATTAAGTTGGAGAGGTCTCGTCTAATGAAGTCAACGCTCCGCCCCCCTCGTGCTCTAATCCAAAGTCCCGAAACCTTTCAGCTCGCGTTACACAACCATTTTCAGTGCCTAGAGGACTGCAATGAAGTAGACGATATGAATGCTCGTGCAACTATGCAAGCTCGTGGAAACTTTCCATGCGGTCGGAGCTAAGTTTTGCAAGACTCTCCGATCACACTCTTAACCTCATGGCGGTTAGACGGGAAATGAAGCTGCAGTCTTCAGTAGATTTGATAGCATAGAGGCAACTTAACAGACAGATTTCCAAATGCATGCGGCGGGATTTACGCAACTTCAATACAGCTTGTATTGAAGAAGCGATCGAGTGGAACCAAGGCTCCAAAGTCTTTGCCAGAGATTTGTCTGCCAGAAAGACCCATCTATCAAAGCTGAAAACCGAGTGTGGCAGCATTGTTTCCGGGACACCTGACACATTTTGAGTGAGATTGAGAGGTTCTATGGGCAGCTGTGCACGTCATCGTTGGAGCCACACGCAAGTGTGAGTAACGATCCAAGAGGGAGTCTTATTGACACTATTACGATGATATCCCGGAGGTCTGTCTGAGCTAGATTAGAATGGCTCTCCAGCACCTTAAAAAGCGCAAGTCCCCGGGCGAGGATAGAATTACAGCGGAGCGTCTGAAAGCAGGTGGAAAACCGGTACTTGAAGTTCTTCAAGAGCTCTTTCATTCCGTTCTCCATGGTGGCACTACTCGAAAAAGCATGAAGCAGAAGTGCGGTGGTCTTGTTCTTCAAGAAAGGCGGCAATGCTCTCTTGAAGAACTACAGACCGATTTCGCTCTGAGCCACGTCTACGTGCTGTTTTCAAGAGTTATTACGAATCGTCTCGCACGCAGACTCGACGACTTCCAGCCTCCCAAACCAGCCGGTTTCCGAAAGAGCTTTAGTACCATAGACCCCATTTTTTTATAGGATAAGGGTGACAAACGAGCACACAGTCCACCTGATGGTAAATGGTTGTTGTGGCCCATAGACATCTACATTAAACGAAATGCAGATGCGTTGTCACCCGTGAGGACTAAGATGGAATGCCTCATTTCCAGTAAAAAAGGTCTCCGGTTCTCTACACTCACCTTACGAAACACAGCAGCGTTAAGCTGCTATTTGACGCTGGTATTCTCTGAGAGCGTGGTCCTTCCCCGGTCGAGCCGACCCATTTGTGCTACAACTATACTACTAATATAGCTGCAGCATGGCTCTACCACGTTTAAATACACATCTTTTGGCAAATTGTACAGAAGACAGAAGAGTACAATCTGCCACTTTGCCTTGCGTATGAGGACTATGAAACAGTCTTTGATTCCGTCGAAATTTGGGTGGTGCTTCAGTCCCTTCAGCGGTGCCAAATTGACTGTCGGTATACGAGTATCAAAGTGCTGAAGTGTTTGTACAGGAAGGCTGCGGTGGCTATCCGAGTACAGAACCAGAGTTCGAAAACTATCCAGCTACAGAAAGGTGTAAGACAGGGCGACGTTATATCCCCGAAACTCTTAACCACTGCATTGAAATACGTTTTCAAGACACTGGACTGGAAAGGATACGGTATTAATAACAACGGCGAGTACATCACTGATCTTCAATTTGCCGACGATATAGTCCATATGGCAGAATCGCTGGAGGACCTAAGCACTATGCTCAATGACCTCAATAGTGTCTCCCAACGGATTGGTCTTTAGATGAACATAGACAAAACAAATATCATGTTAAATGTCCATGTCACACCTATGCCGGTAGTTGTTGGGAGCACTAAGCTCGAAGTTGTTGATGAGTATGTTTACCTGAGACAAATAGTCCGACTAGGTAAGTCCAACTTCGACCGAGAGGTCAATCGACGGAATCAACTCGGCTGGGCAGCGTTCGGGAAATTACGACACATCTTCTCGTCAGCTATACCTCAAAACCTGAAAACGAGATTGTACAACCAGTGCGTGTTGCCAGTGATGATTTATGGATTTGAGACGTGGTCCTTCACTGCTGGCCGTATTAGGACGCTCAAGGTCGCTCAGTGAGCTATGGCGAGAGCTATGCTAGGGGTTTCTCTGCGTGATATACTTAGAAATGAGGATATCCGTAGTAGAACCAGAGTAATCGACATAGCCCAACGGATTAGTACGCTGAAGTAGCAATGGACCGGCCATGTAGCTCGAGTGGCAGCCCACTAGATGGAGTGTCGACCTGGTAAGACATGCAGGAAGTCGATAGATGCAGGTGGTTCATGGCCGTGCTTTGTGAAATTCCTTGGGGGGAGGTCTATATTCAGCAGTGGACTTGTGAAGGGCTGTAACGACGAGAAGATCACCAGCCGAACGACCCCGTCGAAAACCGTATTTACCGATCACAAATCAGCTGGTAGTCCTCAAGGTTCCAATCGAACTTCGCCAATTATATTGTTAATTGCAATTTTAAGTACTGATTTACTACATGCTCGGCGGTGAAGGAAAACATTGTAAGAAAACCAGCATGTCTAAGCAATAAAATATTACGAGGTTACGTGAAATCCACGAAAATTGAATCTGCCACATTACACATAAACCGTATATACACCTACCCCTGTTTTAACCGTGAATTCCAGTGAAACTATATTAGACATTATTTGTTAATAACATTTGATTTTGAGTGTTAGTTAGCGTTACAACCTTTTTTAAACTTACGGTTATATGGCACCATCGACAGTGAAGACCCGTAATCCCGTTGTATCCTTTGATCTTTTTCCGACACCTCGCGCATTTTCCATGACAGTTACCTGTGAGAGTCAATAATTGAGATCTGAAGCTCAAATTCATAAAATGACTATGTAAAAAAGTTCAATGGGTTTATCAAATTAAAATTAATTGTCTTCAACATATTTCTGAAAATGTTGGTGCAAAAAGTCATTAAATATAGATAAAAAGATTCAAAAAAAAAAACATGTCACAATTGAGTTAGGTATACCTTCAGTTAGGTTAGAAAAGGTATTACAATGAACCGAAATTTTACTAGAAAAATATTAAAATTGGGATCTATAGTTTTCAATTTTTAAGGGTTAAAGCAATTACTTAATTTAAAAAATATGATAAAAGAAAATAAATTAAAAAAAATAATGCTCGTAGTAATTAAAACAAAATAAACTATCATTAAATTTAAATTTTATAAAAGTAAAGGGACGCGCGTTTTTGAATGTAACGTTGTATTAAAATATCAAAGCCATCGTTAAGAACTTTCGAAGATTTGAGATTTGAACTAACGAACATTGACATCCTCAATAGATTATACATACCTATTGTAGTATTAAAGTACTAACATAGATTAAAACATATTTATTAACAATCAAATGGATGTAATATCCAATGAAAAAGTCATGCAAAGCCTGCAATTTAAACCGTAACCATGAAGTTCCTTATTAAATTGCTTACCTTCAACCCAATGATGTGCAAGAGTTGCAGATGCTCGTCGTTTAGAATACGTCGCTATGCAGGACGCAGGCGCTCGTTGCACGCAGCGCTCGTGTACAGTGAACTTGCAAACTGATAAAAATTGCAGTATAGCAGTATGCAGTAAACATATAAGTATGGCACAGGTATATTGTTTATTCATATTGTGATTGGTGGGTCAGTTTAATCATACAACGTGAAAACATTTATTATATTATTATATACGTTGTAAAACCATGATGTAGCTAAGTATATGACAGTTTGTAGTACGAAGCAGTCGGCTCGACCGGGAAAAGACCACGCTCTCAAAGAATACAAGCATGAAACAGTTTAATGCTCTTGTATTTAGTATGGGAAGTTTAGAGGACCGGAGACCCTTTTTACTGAAAACGAGGCATTTCATCTTAGTCTTCAGGAGTGACAACGTATCTGCATTTTGGTTCTTAATCGAAGATAGATGTAGATGTTTATGTGCCACACAAAGCATCCACTTACCATTAGGTGGACTAAGGTGTATTTATGTTTTATATTAAAAAAAAAAACTTATTTATATGAAATAAAATGTAAGATGGAATACCTTGTTACCAGTATAAACAGCATCGTTATGCTGACGTCATACAGCGTGGTTTTATACTATATAATATTATGCTTTTTAAATGAACCTATTGATAAAAAATTCTATTACAAAATTACTCTTATTGATATCAAAACCTCCTAACCATGTGCCAGAAATTAAAAAAAGTAAGCAGTACTATTTCACCGCCTATTTAATTTAGGGCTAGTTTTTCAAACCTCATAATATAACTCGGTATATTATGGTTAATACATACAATAAAGTTTATAAAATAAATAAACGTTATCCATCAAATAAATTATAAGATGATTGCATATAAACAATAGTAATTTTTAAATTTATTTGTGTTGTATATTTATACTATGAAACTCCTATTAAACTCTTATCGGATGATTAAAAAAACGGCACTGCAATGCAAAAATTTGTTGATGACTGAATTATGTTTAGATTTTTAGCTTAATTTTAATATTTATTTGTAATCGCTTCGATCGTTATTAGACGATGATAATTCAACTTGTGACAAATTAGACTCTAGAATTAAGATTGTAAATGACTTTTTTTAATAAACTTTAAAAACTTTATTGACCACAAGATATGGCTTTGACATATTTATTGAATATGCCATAACTACGAGTAATTAAACTATCATTAAATTCCATTCGATAGTTTTTATAACAAGAACTAAAAAGAACCTCGGACTTTCAAATTATTTTCAAATGAGAATGGCAGCCGTGAGCAGACTGAATAACACCCATACACATTGTCTACATTAAAATTACAACAAAACAATATACTTACATATGCAGCACAACCCCTTTTTTCCCAAGCCGACGAGCATATTGAGACAGAGATTACAGTAGGCTGGTCGATTAAAGTGCTTCAGTCTCCACGCGTGTTCACCGTCCTCTTTAACGTTTGTGTCAAGGCCCAAAAGCACTAACAATGGAATAGTAGTCATACTGAAAAAAAATTATTCAAGTAGAAGCATGTTAATTATAGAAGAAGCATTCTTATTCTTCTTAATAAGGCTTCGCCCGTTATAGGGAGTTTTTTTGTAGAATATGGGTGACAAACAACACGCAGTCAAACCATAAATGCAGATGCGTTGTCAGCTTTGAGGACTAAGATGAAATTCCTTGTTTCCAGTAAAAAGGGTCTCCGGTTCTCTATACTCACCATACAAAATACAGCAGCATTAAGCTGCTATTTCACGCTGGTTTTCTGTGAGAGCGTGGTCCCTCCTCGGTCGAGCCGACCCATTCGTGCTACAAATATACTACTAATATAGCTGCAGTATGGCTCTACCACGTAAAACTTTGTTGTTTTTCTTTAATAATGATTTAGCTAACACTTGTTTTAAAATTACAAATTAATTTTTAATTTAGTTCAAAAAATACAAGTTAAAAGTGCGTATTTTTATAGGATAAGCGTGACAATCGAGCACACAGTCCACTGATGATAAGTGATTGCTGCGGCCCATAGACATTTACGTCTATCTTCGATTACAAATTAAAATGCAGATGCGTTTCCACCCGTGAGGACTAAGGGGAATGCCTCATTTTCAGTAAAAAGGGTCTTCGGTTCTCTACACTCACCATACGAAACACAGTACCGTTAAGCTGCTATTTTACGCAGGTATTCCGTGAGAGCGCGGTCCTTTCCCGATCGAGCCGACCCATTCGTGCTACAATTATACCAGTAATATAGCTGCAGCATAGCTCTACCACGTAAAATAAATACATTGAACATTTTCGCAGCATAACTATCACTTTGACTAGGGGTGTTTTAACTGTTTAATATTTTTTAATTTGTTGATAATGTTCATCTTCGTTATTGATTGAATGACTATTAAATTATCGTTTTGAAATGCCAAAATAAAAATAAAAAAATTGGATAGGACGGTTATCTACATAGAATTACTAACCCTCCTCTTTTCCATTCGTCGAGAGAAACAGTTCCATCGGCATCATAATCTATCTCCACCATCATGTCTTGCAGAATCTGAAAGAACAAAAAACTGTAGATCTGTGGAGGATTTCTGTTAAAATGATTGCGTCCTTATTAAATACAATCGAACTTCAACATAGTACTCGTAATTGTAAGTATATTGCACATTGATATTTTTTACAATAAAGGTCCTGCTGCTTTTCTTGCTGGTCCTCACCAGGACAGTTGATTATTTCCAAATCAGTGGTAAAAGCATAAATGACTTTCAATAAGTAGTCGTGTTATCCATTGAATAATTTTTTTTATGCTATGCGGCGAGCCGTGGTAGTTCAGAGACCTTAATTGTAATAGAACGTGATCGATCCCATTAACATAATTAATAATACTTTTTAGTCGTTTTGCACGTATTCACCTGTACGTTGGAAAAATGAAATGTTTTGAGAACATGTAAAGTCTGTCAACCAGTCAACCATGATATATCTGGCAACCACGTGACGTACTATTGTTTGTTTTTTATTTTTAATCTTTATATAGAAAAATTACGTGTCACATTGTTTGTCCGCGATGAACTCCTAAACTATTGAACTGATTTCAATGAAATTTTGTACACTGTGTGCAGTTTGATCCAACTTGAGAGATAGGAAAGTTTTTATCCCAATAAGTGGCACAGACGAATAGACACAAGTACGAACATGTAAACGACTTGTTCAGGTGTGCTCGCTACTCGGCCCGAGTATTCGCCTGTTCTCCACTCGATTATGGTTTTTAGCAGAGTCAAAGGAATGTTCGTGTGTATCCGTATCGGTGTCTACATACTCGTCAATATTCAGTTGACCTGTGAACTATCATAATACTCGGCCAATCTACCGTTATAATTTTCTCTAATACCTGTCTTTGACAAAGTATAACTATGTACACAATTCAGCTGAAATTAAATATTTCAAAAGAGCGAAACTACTTTTATATATTCTACTTAATACAAACTACTGCTGTCTTGCCGTCTTTTTTTTAATTTAAAATATTAGTGAGTCTATAAAAGTTAAGGCAAAATGTAGCAACGACGAGACGTATGTCAGCCATGTATAAAAAAATCTAGGTTGAATGGATACAGACGAATATGTAAACGCGTCGTAGGTACGTAGTTTGTCCGATAACCTAAACGTGCCATTATAAAACGCACTGATCCGTATCATACTTTAATATAATATGGCACCGATCTTGAATCCCCATTAAAAAGTTTACAGCGAGAGAATTGAAAGTATTCTGACTCAAAGATTTTACACTTTCTCTGGCTTTTAAAGAATTTAGCTAACTATAATGCCAGACTCACCCATATTAAAATGATATCCCTTGAAATGAGGCGAGAAACTTTTAATGTTCTAACTCTACATAAAATAAAACACGGTGGAGTGATTTCTCCAGAGCCCTGCCCTATGAAAATAAATATAGCCGTTCCTCGCGCCATACTTAGATTCCTAATTACTAAGCTTTTTACTACAACTAAACGCAGAACCAACTTAGGAAAATATGCTCCTCTAAACAAACTCATGCGACAATACAATGAACTGTGTGTCTGAATAGCGATATCGATATTATTCATTTTTATTTAAAAAAAAATTTAAAACTCTGTGTTGTAAAATTGAGATCATGCTGCCACTCGAGAGCCTTTTTTCTAGTCGGACTATTTGTCCCAGGTAAACATACTCGTCAACAACTTCAAACTTAGTGCTCCCAACAACTACCGGCATAGGTGTGACATGGACATTAAACATGATCTTTGTTTTATCCATGTTCATCTTAAGACCTATCCGTTGGGAGGCACTATTGAGGTCATTGAGCATAGTGCTAAGGTCCTCCAGTGATTCTGCCGTAAGAACTATATGTTCGGCAAATAGAATGTGAGTGATGTACTCGCCATTGATGTTAATACCGCATCCTTTCTAGTCCAGAAGCTTGAAAACGTCTTCCAATGCAGCAGTGAAGAGGTTCGGGGATATAACGTCACTCTGTCTTACACCTCTCTGCAATTGCATAGGTTTCGTACTCTGGTTCTGTACTCGGATAGCCATCGTAGCCCTACTGTACAAGCACTTCGATATACCGATAGTCAACTTGGCACCGCTGAAGGAACTGCAGCACCGCCCAAATTTCGACGGAATCAAAGGCTTTCTTATAGTTTTCCACCCGCTTTCAGAAAATCCGCTGTAATTCCATCTTCGCCTGGAGCCTTGCCATTTTTAAGGTGCTGGAGAGCCATTCTAATCTCGCCCAGACTGACGTCTGGGATATCTTCGGAATAGTGTCGGATAAGACGCACTCTTGGATCGTTACTCACACTTGCGTGTGGCTCCAGCGATGATGTGTACAGCTACCCATAGAACCTCTCAATCTCAGTCAAAATCTCAGGTATCCCGGAAATGACGCTGCCACACTCGGTCTTCAGCTTCGACAGTTGGCTCTTTCTGGCAAACAGATCTCTAGCAAAGACTTTGGAGCCCTGGTTCCGCTCGATTGCTTCTTCAATATGAGCAGTATTAAAGTAGCGTAAGTACCACCGCATGAATTTGGAGATCTGTTTGTTCAGTTGCCTGTATGCTGTCAAATCTTCTGAAGACTGCAGCTTCATTTCCTGTCTAACAGCCATGAGATTAATAGTGTGATCGGAGAGTTTTTGTGTTCTTCTGCAGCGGGTCTTGCAAAACTTAGCTCCGATCGCATGGACAGTTTCCACGAGCTTGTTGTTCATATCGTCCACTGCATTGAAATGTTCTAGGCACTGAAAACGGTTTCGTAGCTCGAGTTGAAAGGTTTCGGGATTGGATTAGAGCACGAGGGGGACGGAGCGTTGACTTCATTAGACGTGACCTCTCCAAAGTAACATTTAGGTTCAGTGTGCCTCTCACCATTCGGTGATCGCTGCCGGTTTTCACCCTCGCGATCACTGAGACATCACTGAACAGTTGTCGTCTGGTCGTCATAATGAAGTCATCTCATTTTTTGGCGAACTGTCGGGGCTCGATCAGGTCCACTTTCTGTGGGTCCGCTTCTGGAAGAAAGAGTTCATCATAAAAAGTCCCTCTTTCTCCATGAATTCGGCCAACTGCTGGCCCCTTGGGTTCCGTTGCCCTATTCGGAATTTCCCTACTTTCAGCTCACCGTTGTCTCTTGTGCCTAGTTTTGCGTTGAAGTCTCCCATTAACACCGTATAGTGGGTTTTGGAGAAATGCATGGCTCTAGAGATATCCTCATACATTTCCTCCACCTCCTCATCGGGGTGTACCGAAGTTGGTGCGTAAACTTGTATAAACTTCAGCGAATATCTTTTGGTGATTCTGATTATAAGGTACGCAACCCTCGTCGACACACTCCCAATCTTTACAACGTTGTTAACGAGAGACTTAGTTATAGAAGACCTATACCATATATTGATGGAATGTGTACGATTTGAGTCTATTAGAAGTAATTTGAACAGAACTGACGTAGGCACATTTCATAATATTCTATCCCAACCAAATGGCGACGATGCGAAAGTTCTGTTCGAATCCATGGCCCACGTAGTATAATAAGTATTAAGTAACGTTATATGAGTAAGTCATGTATGTTAGGGTATGATGGGACTGACATACGCTAAGCGGTAAATGTCCCTTAAATTATAATAGAAAAAAAAACGAGAGACTTGTGGACGATAAATCCGACACCTCCTTGGGACAGATGGTCGCCCTCCCGGTGATAAAACAAGTTGCCGGATTCGAGGCCATGTCTCTCTTCGGATTTCAGATAATCCTTTAATATTCCAGGGTAACTTGTCTATCTCTTCGTCCAGCTCCAGGATCTTCTCGTCAGTCCTCAGGTTGCGTGCGTTATATGTTGCCAGGTCGAGTGGTCGTAGGTGGCAACTGAACCTCCACCGGAGATTCTTAGCACCCCCTGCCCCGCCGTTACCATGGTCGCCACCGTAGCCAGGAATAGCGGGGCCGCCGGGGACTGGGGGCCGTCTCTTCGTTACTATCATGGGGGGTATATTGCTATAGTTGCCGCGCTTGGCGAGCGGGTTGGCAACCGCAGTTTTTTTATTGTTGTTTTGATATTTTGCAGAAAAATGCTGCTGCCCATCCTCTGCCTCAGTTTCCCTCTGTCGCCTCTTACGACACCCACGGAAAGATATGGGGTAGTGAGTATTCTTACCCGCCACTTCATGGGAAAATTTGAGATAACGCTATATAATTTATAACTTAATCCTCTCTCTCTACTCTTTGAGGCACGACGTCGTGCTAGTATTTAATAACGCATAATTAATGTCCTTAATGTGTATAAACAACCGTAATGCTAATTCCTGAAAAACTTTATTTATTTATTACTTAAGTCATCTATCTATACTTACAGACAGAATGCCATAGTGTCTTCGTTATCATTCTGAACCAAATCTTACACTAATTATATTAAAATTCATAGGTAAACAAAACTTGGGGGAAAAGGGTTCTTGAGTGGCAGCCTCGTACCAGCAGGCGTAAATCTATCCACTGGATAGATTTACGGCCTGGTAAGCCATGCAGGAAGTCGATGGATGCAAGTCGCTCAAGACCATGCTTTGTAACATACCTTGGGGGAAGCCTATGTTCAGCAGTGGACTTGTGAAGGGCTGTAGTGATGAAAAAAAACTCATAAAAACCATGTAAACCTTATGCAATATAAAAAATGTTCAAAAACACAGCTTAAAGAAACTAATATTATTAAAAAAAAAACTCTCCACGCTTTTAAACACCAATAATACCAACCCTAACAGTAACATACGACAGCTAATATAACCTTTGCGATTTCATTTTTAATTATATATAATATCTTTTTTTATTTGTATTTCATATAAATCTTTATTTATTATGTTCTTAAATGTTGTCCTACACCTGTAACTTTAGACGTATCATATGGCATTATGGTTTTTGTACATCAATTTTAGAATTGTATTGTGCTATGTCGTTATGTTCAATAGATTAATAAGTAAAAAAATACCAATGCAAATTTACAGTAAGTATTATCAGTTTAGGCACGTATAATGTTGGGTAAGTTTGAGCTTTGAGTCTATGTTCATTAATTTAATTACGCCTCCAGCTTTTTCCATAATCGATCTATGAAAATTTTAAAAAACCGAGAGTTTTGAGAGATAATTTTTTTTTTACACAAGAGTGGCAGCATGCGGCTCATTAGATATAAGCGGACACCGCTACCCATTGTCACCAAAAAACGCAAGTGTTACACTAGAAGTCGCAGGATCTTTTCTTGAAAGCCTTTAACTTTAAAGTGCAAGCCCATACTTACTAAATATCAAGTTGATTAGGACTCAAGAGTCCATTTTAAATAGGATAAAAACGTTTTAAAAATGTTTACATACGGTTTAAAATACATAATCAGTGCTCACCGGTCTAAGCTCTGAAGTCTCCCAACCGAGATACTCGGCCACCGTCATCATTTGGTTGACAATACAGTCCATCTCGTTGGTGTCCAGCACGCCGTTGCCATCGGTGTCGTATAACCGGAACATGACTATTGAAAAACGTCAATATAACTACGAGTCTTGTTTTAAGTGACATAATTATTATATAAAAAAATTTTGTTGGATAAGTCATAATAAATATCGTTTACTGGCTATGTAAGAATATCCACTACCACATATCGTCCCGTGGGTGTCGTTAGAGGCGACAGAGGGAACACACCAATAGAAGGGCAGCAGCGCAAACCCGCACGTCAAACGTGGCAAGTATGGCAAATAAATGCGGCAAACTCTTTAGGAAGGCATATGTTCAGCAGTGGACTTTTGATAAGCTGTTTTAATAATATTAATTCTTTATTGAACACAGAATTAATCATGAATAAAATGAACTTGTTACACATGTTAACATTCCTGGCAACTGAGACGAAAATACAAATAAAAATAAATAGTATTGCTCAATGTCTCCTTAGATGATTTTGGTTTCTTTGGTTTTACTTATTTTCGAAATGCTACAATATTCCTTCATTACTATATTGTAAAACTGTGACATTACCTATTCGTATACTTACATTCTAATTTATCTTCTGGTCGTCCAGCTTCTAATAAAGAAAGATAACACACTATATCCTTTAAAGAGACCCTGGCGGTATGTACTTCTAAAGTAGACGGACGGCGCATTAAATGTTTGAAGTCTGGAACAAAAATCCGTGAAGATCATAAATTCATGTAAAATGTCTTATTTTAAACAATTGTTTCATTGCCTTGTAATGGTGACGTAAAAGATCCATCATATCATTATTTCATATATTTTCAACGTAAGGAAAACCGATACAAGAAATGGGCAGCAGCATCTTTCTGATAACATCTCTAAATAAAAAAAACTACGGTTGCCAACCTGCCCACCAAACGTAACAGTTATGTCAAATATCCCAAATATTCCTTTCTTTTTAAAGCGAACAGTTATGCGGGTATAAAACCAGTAGCACTGTGACCAGTAAAATCTATTGTGATTGCTTCTATGGTTATAGTTCACTGCTAAGCCCTATACCTTAAATATGTGGCAGGAGTTGCTTCGCTGTGAGCATTTTCATTTTTCTGGGCTAAGTAAGTAGTTTTCCAGATGAGTGTTACGTTTCGGAATTTAGTATGTGCAGAGATGTGCGATCAGTTACGATGTGTAGAGGTGTATCTTTCGTTAAGGAACAGAATAGGCACATCCATGAGTTGCTTATATCCAAGATATGTGTTTTTTTAAACATACCCCTTATGAAACAATCTAATCCGTATGGTTAGTAATCAGTATGGCTAGTACTTAATTTCGTGCGACCAAATTGTGAATTGTGCTCTATTATTATACGGATAAAGTAAGATCTTTAAAAATTGTTAATATTTATTTAAAACCTACTTATGTTATTGTTATATCGCATGTTGAGGTTAACAGTAAGTAATCAACTACACTTAACTTAAGAAACTATTCTGTTATTTAAGATGTCATTGTGTAAATTGTCTGCTAATAAGCCATATAAATAAAATAATTAAAAAAAAATAAGCGTGAGTGTCGTGGAACACGCGGTAGAAACGAAGTTCCTTTTGTAGTATATTATTATTGATAAACGCATTAGATTATTGATTAACAAATACAAATAAATGAACTATACTATCTAGTCTATTAAAATGAAGCGTCTTCTAAAATAATATTTCTTTCATTGATATTATTCCATCTCGCTCGCACTTTAGAAACAGGGTCGTGACGGAAAAATCTTACGTTTCTCGCCTAGCCCCACGGAGCAAATGTGATGCCATACATACATCAAAGCATCTATCGGAGTAGTTTTTAAACGATAAAACACAACAGTTCATCATTTCCCTCTTAAAGCTACGAAAATACACCGATTTGCGATTTTCGACACATAAGCGCACAGAACGAATGCTGACACTACACTAACTAAAGCCACGCTCACTGTGATGACGTCAGGACCTAGTTAGAATTACAGTGCACAGTTAGTTAGGCCGTCTCCTCTTTGTATTTGCTCCTTGCCTAGCCACCATCCGTCAATTTCGTACCGTGCGATAAGGAACTTCGTTCCAATAAAATCTATATGAAGTCTATATTCAGCAGTGGACTTTTGATTCCAAATGCAGCTACTATAACATATGCTAGATAGATATCACTGCTTCCAACAGATGGCGGTATAACAATCCCCTTTACGCCAGACGTAAAATATACAGTACAACGGGGGGCAAAATCAATGTTGCGGGACATCAGGTAGCTACTGCGATTGTCAATTCACCTGCCAAGCGTGACGATAATTACAATACTTTCCTACAACGGCAGAGGCCCATATTCCAGTAGTGGACTTTTACAGGTTGACGAAGAAGAAAATTTTAGTTTCCTCTAAATTTCTCGAAATACCTTCAATTTTAGTAGATTGATTTACGCGAAGCGAATTACTGCTCTTCCTGCTGGAGTTTCTGGACATTTGACTGTGACTAGGACTGGTTTCGTTTCGTCGGTCCAGACACAGTTCATGAGATGAGTATGAAGGGTGCGTGGTCACAGAGAACATTGGATGTACGCTCCCTAGAAAGAATAAACTAAATGAATATAATCCTATAAATTAAAAAAGAAAAGAAAATGGTGGGCGTTCTTGGAATTAACGATTGCATAAGCTAATACGTACCATCTCCGGTCAGGGGAACCACATTTTGTAATGCTAATATATTATTCTATGTGATGTTTTGAAAACGTTTTTTTTTTAATAAATCTTACGTCAATAGCCGTTGTAGCTCAGCTAAGCAGCTTTACATTACTTCCAGTGGCGTAGCTACTAGGCTAGGTGGGGCAGTGCCTCGTGGCCGCCAAGCTCAAGGGGCTCAAACCTTCGGTCTCAATAAATTTATAATATCCTAGTCGAATAAAGAATTTTCGACTTTTGACTTTTTGGCCGTTGACAAAAAAAACCTTAAATGTGAGCCAACTGAAATCACAAAATTGCTCCCATGTCCAGAATATAAATATAATATTGTTTATTGTCTACCTATAATAATAACAACTGTAATTTAGTAAGTAGATTTGCTTTATTATGCCCTGCAGTGGGCGATATGGAGCTGACGATGAAGTAGTATTGCACCTTAAAAGTATTTAGTTTAGTTTGAATAGGTCCCTAATTTCATTGTTGCCCTGGGCCCTTGGTTACATAGCTACGCCACTGATACTAATTCCACTCGCTTTAAATTTCGCAATACGCAAGCAATGCCGGTATGTACATATATATAAAGAAGTGGTTAGTTGCAATTTGAAAGTGCTGATTTACCACATTAGACATTTCTACAATGAATCAATCTAGTACTATCATGCACAGTTTCAATTTTGCACTTTTTATATTTCAGTCCTCTGACAAAGGCTAAAGGAAGATATAATTATTAAGATTTTTGCCTTTTTCATTTACATAAGAAAATATTAGAACATCATCTTAACTGAATGTCGAAATGTCATAATGTAGTAACAGAGCTTACCAGTGCGGCTTCTCGATCCTTTTTCACTTCCATCAGCAGAGTCTCCAGAACTTTTACCCAACTGTTGTAATCGTTCAGCCAGTCCATGGATTTTTGAAGCCAAGCTTAATTTTCCCTAAAACAGAATTATGTTCATCTTTGTATATGATTTCACAAATAAAATGAAATAAAATGGGAAATTAAAACGCAATAACTTCCTTACCCATTTGTACGTTAGCTCGCGTTCATTACGCATTTTTAGAAATTCGAAGTTTAAAGAATAGTCTTATCGCTCTCCAAATCATTGTCTATTCTTATAAACGTAATTTTACAGGCGTAAATAGAAATACCTGATGGTCGCCGTGTGAAGTAACGGGTGCACAAGCCGCAGTGGAACTGGCAGCCGCCATTTCGCGGAGCGCCGGCCTCTTGTCCCTCCGAACGAACGACAGAAACAAATGCCTGCAACGAGTATTCACTTTTTAACTGACTCCGGTAATGAGCAGTAGGTACCGTTACTAAAAACGTTTTTTTAATCTTGTTGATTTAATCAATAATTTTAAGATTAAATTTTTCTGTACGACCAACACTTCTGTTCCCAGTCTCATCCCTTACACGAAACGTTGGTAATTGAAAACTTGTAAAATTAGTTTTATTAGATTAGATAGACGAACACATGAATGTGTCATTGATTTAGTGTCTGTAGCGCATGCTAATCACGTGAATTAATTAAACGGATCGGGATCCCGGAACTTATCAAAAATCAGTTATTGTATTTTCCTGACAAGAAATTATTAGTAGCAGTCCGAAGACAGAAAAAATGTGATGTTTTATATCTTTCTCCGATCGCGTCGTATTACCGTCCAATTAGACTGACGTCCGTTTTTTCCGGACCGATACGACTTAGGGACCTTCAAGAAAAGAGCCTACCCTTTTTAAAAGGCCAGCAACACATCTGCAATTCCCCTGGTATTGCAGTTGTTCATGGGCGACGGTAGTCACTTACCATCAGGTGAGCCGCATACTCGTTTGCCCCCTCTCCTATAAAAAAAACTGATAGTGAGGAAATAGAGAGTGCACCTACATTTGCGCACATATATATCTACTCATGCCCTATAATTCTACCCTGAGCAGATGGCTAGTCTCCGTTAAAACTGGCTACCATAACCAAAATGAGGTCTGGAGGACAAGTGCACGCAAATTAAAAATAATAAATCAATATTATTCCTTATATTTCTTTAATATTTATTATAGGACCAGTTTTTTTTAACCTCCACCACAGCGAAACTGCGTCGGCTCAATGACGCAAGTGGTTGAAGGTTCAAAGGACGGCCATAGCCTTAATCCAGGAGCCGTGGGTTGGGGCTGGTAAAATTAAAGGCCTAAACAACCTAAAAGGTAAGTTATCCTACAGCTCTGAACACGACAAGCGTAGAGCGTGTATTTACACTACTAAAGATATCTGTGCACAACCATTAACAGATTTCTGTTCTAGAGACATGTATGCCGTGGCAATACAATATACACAGGAGAGAAGATTAGTCGTCGCCTCGGTCTACGTGCCGGAGGAAGACACTCCTCCCCCTCATGACCTCGTGAGGCTGGTGAACTTCTGCGAGAGGACCGGACTAGAGGTTGTGATCGCAACGGACTCCAACGCGCATCATCCCCTCTGGGGAATGGAAAGACCGAATGAACGAGGTAAGGTGTTAGTTGAATATTTATTTAGCACTAACCTAACTATTTTAAACACAGGTTCTGAACCAACTTTCATAAACAAACGCTGTCGCACAATAATCGACCTCACACTTGCAACACAAGGAGCAGCTAAACTAATTACGGGATGGCATGTGTCGAGAGAGGCCTCATGCTCAGATCATAGATGGATCTGCTTCGCACTACAGGTTGATATCCCCGCTACACCACCATGGAGAAATCCCCGCAAGACGGATAAAATAAAATACCTTAATAGGTTGACGTCTTTGCTCGTGGGTTTTGAGGGGACAAATACTATAGCAGATAAATCGCTCCTATAAGTACAGTTAGCAGCTGTTACTAAAGCCACGATAGATAGCTACCATGAACCATGTCCAAAAATCACTCCACCAAGGCATGCTGAGGTAAAGCAACCGTGGTGGGGTAAAGAACTAGATATAAAACGTAAGAAGGTAAGAAAAGTCCTAAATAGGGCCATGAATACCTCAATGGATGAAGACTGGCTACTATACAAGAAAGCTAAGTCCGAATACAAAAATGTATCAGGTATCGACAGGGTGGCGTAAATTCTGGGAAACATAGAAACCTGCGAACAAGCGAATAGGATAAGGAATATTCTAGCTAAACAGAACACGTCGGGATTCATCTCTCTAAAGAAACCCGACGGTAGTCACTCAAAATCGCCGGATGAAGCCCAACACATCCAAATTAAAACGCACTTCCCAGGCTGCTGCGTAACTCCGGAGGCAAACCGGCATGACGACATATTGACACTAACAGCAAAAGACTGGAATTTAGCACAAAGAGTGGTAACGATGGACAAAATCCATTGGGCCATTCACAGTTTCCTCCCCTATAAGGCGGCAGGACCTGACGGCATATTCCCGGCACTCCTACAGTGGGGGGGGGGGGGGTAAAGCCCTAATAGTCAGACTTGTTGCCATAATGAGAGCCTATCTGGCTCTTATGTTCCTAGGGGATGGAGGGAAGTGAAAGTCAAATTTATACCAAAACCAGGTAAAAGCGACTACACAGACCCTAAATCCTACAGGCCCATTAGCCTCACATCCTTTCCTCTGAAGATAATGTAGAGGATGTGTGAAAGGGAATTAAGGGGGTCGGCGCTAATGAACTTACCACTACACGACAAGCAACACGCCTACAGTCTAGGCAAATCAACAGAATCGGCACTTTACCAGGTAATAACAAAGATTGAAGAGGCCATCCCAAACAAAGAAATATGTCTAGGTTCCTTCATTGATATAGAAGGTGCTTTTGATAGAACGAACTTCTCCAGCATAAAATGTGCACTCAGTAGACATAAAGTTGAACCGGCACTAATTGACTGGATAGTGAACATGCTCAGTACACGAATAATAAAGATTGCTGGTGAATCTCAACCAATACAAATTAAGAAAGGCTGCCCGCAGGGTGGGGTTCTCTCACCTCTCCTGTGGAATATGGTCATTAATGAACTCATCAGCAAATTAAATGCCAATCACTTCTACACAGTAGGTTATGCTGATGACCTGACAATACTGGTCTCTGGAAAGACAGCAAGCATAGTGTGCGACCTCACCCAAGCGGCTCTCCGTATAGTGGAGAGATGGTGCAGGGAATACGACTTAACCGTTAATCCAAATAAAATGGTTCTAGTAATGTTCACACAAAAACGAATGCTGAATAACTATCATCTCCCAAGTATTTTCAGCACAAAACTCCAGTTATCCTCTGAGGGTAAAATATTTAGGTCTTACCTTGGACAGCAAACTTAACTGGAATAAACACATAGAAAACAAAATCAACAAAACTAGTATAACTTGCAGGCAATGCAGAAACATGATTGGCAAAAGATAGGGAATGACGCCAAAAATCATACTGTGGCTGTACAAAACTGTAATTCTGCCCATGATCACATACAGCGCTCTGGTATGGTGGACCAAGACAAATGAAGCCACCACTATAAAGAAGCTTCAGCGCTACCAGAGACTGGCATGTATGGCTGCCACAGGCTGCATAAGGACTACGCCAACGGCAGCCTTAGAAGCGATGCTAGAGCTAACCCGCTTCATCTACATATACAACAAGAAGCGACTTTAGCTGCCATCAGACTCAAGACCCTAAATCTTTAGAGTAAGAATAGTATCCCTCATACAGGTATAATTGATAGAATTCACTCAAAAATTCCCATCTTACAAGGTTTAGGTTCTGGAACTTTCTCTGAAGACCTCAATATCCACATATGCACACCACTGGGTACCTATAACACAGTCTTTCAGGCGGAATGTATGGGTATCATTCAAGCAGCCATAGCAATAGATGTTAGGAAGGTTAATGACTTCCCCATCAGAATACTGACCGACAGTAGGGTACTACAAGCTCTGAGTTGCAATGTGGTGAACTCGAGACTTATATATGAATGTCATCAACGATTAAATGAGGTATGTAAAAACAACAATGTGACTCTGCAATGGATAAAGGGGCACAGTGGATCCAGAGGCAACGATGCAGCAGACGAACTGGCCAGAAGAGGATCGGCTCTGGCCACTATAGGGCCGAAACCAATCATACCAATCCTCTTTGGTAATGTTTGTTCACTGGTACGTAGACACTTCACTAATCTACACGCTCAGCTTTGGAAAAATCTAGTAGACTGTAGACAAGCTAGGGAGGCCCTGCCTGAAATAAACAGTCGTGTAACCAAAGTTCTAATGAGACTGAACAAGCCGCAGACCAGGATAGTAACAAGTGCTATCACAGGACACGGCAACTTTAACAAGCATTTATTTACTATAGGTGCTACAGATAGTCCCCTGTCCAGGGCGTGTATGGGGGAAGAAGAAAAGGCGGCCCATGTGCTATTGAAATGTCCGGAGGTCGCTACGTACAGGGCTAAAAATCTCGGCACGCCGGGATCACTCCCCGAAGTTGCATGCAACATCAAAGGACTGTTGAGCTTCTTCGGGGAGATCTCATGGTTCGAATAAGCATATTATTCCTGCCCACACGCAAAATACGCGTATAGACGTGGAGTTGTGGAAAACAGCCCGTCGTAAACTAAACAAAACTAAACTCTAGGACCAGTTGTCTATTATTTTATTATATTTTTTGCCATGTGATGATGGCGGCAAAAATCTATTACAATTAGGTTTTATTCTTTTATTTGCTAAATTTAACCACGATAATAATGCCAATGTGGTGGGCGTGAATGAACGCTCGCTACAGTAATATTACTCTTAAGCTTTAACTTAGCACTCATTTCTGTTCTTTATTTTTGTTTTCTATGACTGTGAAACGTGTGAAACTTTAAGATAAAGGCTACGATATTTGCATGACAGTTTGAATTAAAATTGACACAATAATTAACTCTTTTTTGAATTTGTGGAATGCAGGAATGTTATAGCATTGAAGATTATAATTTTTGATTTATATTTTTTGTGATATATATATATATAACGTCAAACCTGGAGAGTTCATCAGGAGTTGATACTTCGAGAAATGTGTCCAGAAACCACCGGAAACCTTCGAAGTCGATGTCCT